CTCAGCTCTCCCCAAAATTGAGGGAGACCCTTTCACTGGACCTGCTCTTGGGGCTGGGGCTGCTCCCAGTGAGACCAGCAGCATCTTCCTGGCTGGAATTGTGGTTGCTCCATGAAAACTCAGGGGTGTCCCTGTGGTTTTCCCTGACATACTCATGTTTTCCCTTAGGCCTTGTCTCTGGTCTCACTGGTGGCATCACCTGTGCTGTGACCAGCTGCTTTTGGTCCCTGGGTCACACCTTTAGGATTTGGTGATTTTGGTCAAGCCTAAAGGTTTTCAGCCCATGACATCCAACACAAATGTCCACCTGTGCTCACACAGACCACAAATCTCATCTGAAACAAAGACCCTTAGGAGGAGGAATGCCCTGGAGCCTACAGGACTTGGACATTATTAGACATCATCCTCATCCCTGTCTGAAGTTTGGAATATGAGTTTTATTATCCCTGCCAACATTTATGGTAATGGTAACTATTACAACTGGATTGATCTTGTTCTTTAAGCTCACAACACTCTCCTTGCCCACTTTAGGTTAAAGATTAATTAGTGGATTAGAGTCATACTTCAGGGAAAGGTTTTCTTTTTCATGGATTTAGAAATTGGCATATTTTAATTTAGGAATGGTAAGAGTGTGTGTAGCCCACCACAGAACCACCCCATCATCATTATCTCCTGTCACCCTACACACCCAGCACTGGAAATCCTTTAAAACCGAAATAAAATGTACCTGGAGCCATTTCTGCTGGTGAGTTGCTCAGGTGTGGCTTGGTTGGGAATGTTTCCTTCTTTCACCTGGTGAAGGAAACTGTGGAGCCCCTCTTTATATAGCAGGGGGTCTGTTTAAAATGGATCTGTGTGTCCATGATTACAACAACAGCTCTGCACCTTCCCCCTGCATACATGCATAAGTGTTCACAGTGGTGCTACCTCATCCCAGGCATTTTCACAGATGTGCAGCTTGGGGAGCTTTGTTTACCTCAGGATGAGACCAGTGCTCCATGATTTCACCATGTTCTCCTGTTTATTGCAATTAAAAGTTTCCTCATCACAGCAAGACCCAAATCAGATCATGGTGAGATATGTTGTGTTCTCCTGATGTTCCTGCCTGGCTCTGCAGCCTTGCCCCACGGGACTGACCACCCTGGGACATTTCTGGCTTAAAGCAAGTGGCACCAGGAGAGGTTTAGGTTGGATATTAAGGAAAAGTTCTTCCTGAAAGGGGTGTCTAGCCCTGGCACAGCTGTCCATGGCAGCGGTGGAGTCCCCATCCCTGGAGGGTTTTAAGGCTGTGTGGATGTGGCACTTGGGGACATGGGTTAGTGGTGGCCTTAGTGGTGCTGGAGGAATGGTTGGACTGATCTTAGAAACCTTTTCCAACCTAAAGGTTTCATAATTTTGTGATCTTTTCCTCTCTAGTATTTGTGGGGATAGAGCTGGCTGGATGTTGTCAGATGAATCCTATTTCTGCCAAGGAATTTCTGCCAAGGAAATCTTCCAATTTCTCCCAAAATGTCAAAAATTCAGCAAATACTTTTGCTGAGCTGGTTTGTCACTGGTGTGACAGGGAGCTGTCCTGCCCTGGTGCTGGTTTGGATTCCAACCTGCCCACTGCAAATCCAGAGCTCTGGGAGCTTTCTCTGATCCTCAGCTGGACAAGGCTCTGGGAAAACCTGGTCATGAGCATCTTCCTGCTCCTGCCTCAGATGCAAACATGAAATACTGTGGGATTAAGGAGAGGTATAGTGGGAAAAAGAGATAGGAGGGATCAGAAGAGGAGATGGGGAAGGGAATCAGAGAATCATGGAGTAGTTTGGGTTGAAAGGGACCTTAAAGCCCATCCAGTGCCATCCCTGCCATGGGCAGGAGCACCTTCCACTGTTCCAGGCTGATCTAAGCCCTATCCAGCCTGGCCTTAAAGAAGAGAGGACACAGCCCACCCATCCCTGCTTTTGAGAAAAACAACAAAGAACCTGGGATGGGCAGCTCCAGGGGGTATTTAAAGGACTTTTACTCCACATAAAGCCCATATTGCCCCAAACCAGACTGGTTTCGCCTTTGTCTGCTGTTCAGGGGGTGTCCTGTGTCCGGAGGTGATTTGGCTCACCCAGGTCCCTGTTTGCTGTGTGTGGTGTGGTTTCCAAGCAGCAGCATCACCCCCGGAGCCGCTGGAGCTGCGGGAGTAGGGAGAGGGGAGCTGCTCGATAAACATGAGGGAGAGCAGGGCTGTTCCGAGAAGCCCCCGGGTGTTGCTGCTGGAGACGCGGTGGTGTCACAGGGAAATGTCAGTCCCGGCAGCAGAGGGAACAGCGGGTCCTGCCGCTATCAGGTGTCCCGTCACCCCACAGCGGCAACATCTGGGCGTGTTTTTATGTTTGCTACTCCAGGTCGTGTTTAAATCCGTCAGGGCTGAGCCGAGCCGCAGCTGCCCAGCCCAGCCCAGCCCAGCCCTGGATGACGCCGCAGTGTCACTGCAGCTCTGGGTCAGAGCCGTGCTAACCCCCATGGTCCGGCACGGAGAGGCCGGGCTGAGCCGGGCCAGACTCCCCCAGGCTGGCTTTGTCCCGGCACGGAGGTCTCCCCCAGGCTGGCTTTGTCCCGGCACGGAGGGCTCCCCCAGGCTGGCTTTGTCCCCGGCGCTGTGTCGCAGTAAATGAGGCAGAAGCGGCGCATGACGAGCGCCGGGCCGGGCAGAGCCGGGGTTGCATAATCGGCTCCCAAACCTCAGCCGGGCCATTTTCTGGCTCTGCAATTCCTGCATTCCCAACCCACAGCATCCCATCTAAAGCAGCGTCATATTCCATGATTTCCACATTCTTTGGAAAAGAAAAAAACCCCTCCATTCTCTTCAGGATGGCTCTGTGCCCACCCACCTTTCCCTGAGCTTTTAAATAAGTGAAACAACTTTTCCTGAGTGTGCTCCCGGGTCCTGGTGATCCCCAGCCCCAGGAATCCTGACCGAGGAGCTGCTGCTGAGCCACAGCCCAGCTCTGCAGAAGGTTTGGGGTGTGGGGGATTATCTCTGTCAACTCACTGGTCCAATGAGAAATTCCATTTTAGATTTATGGGGATTATTTACCAGAGCTGGAACTGCTGGGTTGCACTGAACTCCTGTGAAAAGATGAGGCTGAAACCCCTGGTTCAGCTCCCCAGGCAACCCCACCTGTCTGCCTGAGCATCCCGATGGAAAACAGGGATTTCCCCTCCCTACTGTTATCTGGAGGATGTTGTAGCCAGGTGGGAAGGACAAGAGGAAACAGCCTCAAGCTGTGCCAGGGGAGGTTTAGATTGGATATTAGGGAAAATTTCTTTACTGAAAGGAGTGTCCAACCCTGGCACAGCTGCCCAGGGCAGTGGTGGAGTCCCCATCCCTAGAAGGATTTAAAAGCTGTGGAGATGTGGCCTTGGCAGTGCTGGGGGACGCAATGATCCTAGAGGGCTTTTCCAGCCTGTGTGATTCCATGATTCAATGACAGAAATCAGGACAAAAAATACAGAGCCTGGACTGTATAGACTGATATATTTATTTACATTAAATGTGTTTTAAACACAGACTACTCTCAATATAGAATGAAATGAACCCCCATCTCCAGGCTCCTTAGAAACTACTCCAAGCATTTCAAATAAACCAACAACACTACAGAAATATTTATTTACTTTTGGCATTTTAAAGGAGGCCAAATCCCAGGGCTGAAGGAGCAGCAGAGCAGGACCGGGGTCATAAAAACTGCTTTTGACACAAGTGGTTCCTCACCAGGTGCAAACAGCATATTTTCTTTATTTTTTCTGTTATTCTGTTCAGTGACTTGAGTGAGTTGTTTACAGAGATCTGAGGAATCTGGAGCTGGGAAGGCCAGAAAAAACTTCTATCTTCCATTTGGAAACTGAAAACAAGGAATGGAGCGATGAGCTCTGCTAGTCCTAAAATCTTGGCAAACGTGGAAACCAGGAATAGCCAGTTCTTTTCTCTCCCTGTGAATGCTCCTTTTTTTAATTAACCAATTTTATAAGTAAAATATGCTTAAATAACTTTTATATATATGTGGCAGAACTAATTTGGGATAGTTTTATTTAACTAGTAAAAATCAATTCCAAAATGCTGGTTTTTGAGCTGTTTAAGCTGAATTCCAGTTTTCCATGGAGTTGCTTTAGTGGTAAAGAACCATCCTCTTACTTCTGAAAAGCCTTTTTTCCTTAGAATTTTACCCTTCTCTGGCTGTTTTTGGGGTGCAGAGCAGTTGCAGGAGCTGCTTGGAGCCCAAAATGTCATGAAACATCAGGACAGAGAGGCCTGGGGCTCTCTGAGAGGGGACAGTTTGAGCCACAATGTCCTTGTCACCTTCATCCAGCCAAGCCCCCATGCCCACTGTGCCCCCACAGCCCTGGTTTTGGTGCCCAGCTGGCCCTGAGCCCACCACCCTCAGCTGTTGCTGCCATGCCAAGATAATTTAATGACAAACCAAATCTTGATATGTTTTTTAGCTTCTTCTTCAAGCCCAGATCTAGCTGAGAGTGGAGCTGCTGGTCCTGTTCTCCTGCTCTGGATCCTGGTGATTCTTTGTCCCATCCCAAGCTGATGTTCTGGCACTGTTGAGGTCCCCATGGGTAGCCTCACATCTGCTCTTGGTTTTCCATCCCTGCCTGCCCTCTGGGTGAAGTTTGAAGAGGTGAAGTTTGGTTTCCAGCTAAGCTGGACCCAAAAAGCTGCTCATTATTCCTAGGAAATCAGCACCAGGGTTATGGGACACCCCTGGAATGGGCATGGCAGGATGGAGCAGGATAAGGATTTACCCATTACCTTTATTAGGACTTCAAAAGCAGTTGGAGGTTTGTGTCCCACAATTTGCAGTTTTCCCAAATGTTCAGAGGTCACACATGTCCCTCACCATAGGGATGACCTTGTGGCAGGGTCCAGCTCTTGCCTTTGGGCAGCAAGCAGCTAGCCTTTGGGAGAGACCTTTCTCCCCAGCTCTTCCATAGTCTTTGGAGAAAAGGAGGTGCATTTGGGGGATCCTGCACCTCAGACCTCTTCCAGCTGGGCCTGTGGATTCAGCCATGGCTTTGACAGCTGAAGAGTGGCCCAAAATCCGCTTTTCACAACAGCCACGTGGTGCTGTTGGCAGTGTCCTTGCAGTGCCTGGTGCTGTCCTTCCTGGGGTGGTGGGGCTGGAGCAGAGCCCTCATTCCCAGTCTTTCCTTGGCTCTGACCAGGATGGAGCTCACTGCTGGTGTGGGGCTGCCCGGGCTGTGTGACCAGTTCACTGCTGGGGGATCACAGGTGGCTCCTAATTTCTACAGAGGCTTTAGGGTTTGGTCAGCAGGGTGGAGACAGTGACAGTGGGACAGGGCAGCCTCGGGGACACAGCCTGGACTCGTGAGCACCGCAGGGCAGCAGGCTCCCAGCCTGTGCAGGTGTTGGTAGCCTGGGATCCAGGCAGAGCCGTGCTCCAGGGGATCTGTCCCCACGGGGGTTGGCTGGGTGCTGGCAGGGCCTGGCAGGGGGCACAGGACCCCTCACTCTTCACCTGGGTGCTCCCCCACTGTCCACTTGGCCTTCACATCCCGGAAAGGAGTGATGTCCTCGTAGGTGGCCATCTGCTCCACCTCCAGCCCCTGCAGCAACGACAAGGAGGGTGCGTGTGTATGCCACGGGACAGAGAGAGAGAAACGGCAAGAGTTTCTCACAGTGGCTTGTGAGAGCTTTTAGGGAGTTGTAAGGATGTGATAAATTGTTAGGATAAACAATCTGCAGGTGGTGTTTTTCTGCTTTGTCTTTTTGTTCTTCTCAAGGATGGTGTGTGAGAAAGGTGTTTTTGTTACTTAGCCAATCAAATAGAATGTATCTTATCACTCTATATAAACCACAAGGGTCTCTTGAATAAAGCCTTATTTTACTCTTTCTACAATACTGCCTCTCGCCTATTCCTGTGTCATTCTTGGTGCAAGAGTGAGAGGGTGGGACATGGCAGGAGGCTCCAGCCACAGCACATCCCTTGGGACACCCACTGGGGACCCTCCCAGCCTGCTCCCCCTGAGCCTGGGGCAGCTTCTGACAGGGACAGAGGATGGAGATGGTGGATGTTGGATGTTGGATGTGCACTGGGTGCTTCCTGGGGCAGCTCAGCATAGCTGATGTGTAGTTGGGGAGGAAGGGGCCCTGATCCTCCTCCCAAGGAAGGGGCTACAGGGTGACCCCCAGCAGACACCCAGCAGGGGCACAACCCCCTGTGTGAAGGCTCAGGTGGTGTCAGGGAGGTCCTGCTATCATTAATTACCTCATAGGTGTGGTCCTCCTCTGGGCTCTTCTTGTCTTCGCCCTATGGAGAGTCACAGGTTGGGGTCAGCACCCGTCAGGATCCCCTGTCCCCGGCCTTGGCCCCCAGGCCAGGTACCACCACTTCCACATGCACATCCATGGAGTCCCCACACAGCATTTGAGATGGGTATGTTCCCATTTCATATATCCACATACCACCCCACAACCCCAAACCCATCCCATGGCCAGGACTGGCCTGCCTGGATGCACTGCAGGAGTGCTGTGAGTCCGGCTGGGGACATTCCCTCTGCTGGAGGCACTGTCACTTGCCTTATCCAGGAAGAGGAGGATGGGGATGCTGATGAAGACGACGAGCAGGATGGACTGGATGATGATGATGGCGTCCTTCAGCGTGTTCCTGTTCTGGTACTGCTTGATGCTGCTGGTACCTGGGAGCAGCAGCACAGGGAGAGCCCAGGTCACCTCTGAGCCAGGCTGCAGGGGAGGGATGTGCTCACCATGGCCAGAGTGTGTCATCAAGGTGGGATATGGGGACCAGGGTGACCTGTCCTTTTCATTGGGAGAGACCAGGGCACTGCAGCTGTCCCCAGGGCTGGCATCAGGGACCAGCTCTGGGATGGGACACCTTGGGCAGCACCCAGCAGTCACCAGGAGCAGAGCAATCTGATTTATTAGAGGAACATGTCCCTGGTTTTTGCAGGATGGCTGTGCCAGGGCAGACCCAGGGAGGTTGTCCTGCTCCTTGGGGCTGGCAGTGAGGAATGGAACCTCTGTGTGCCATAGAGCACCCACAGCTGGGTCGGAGAGGGCCCCACCAGCACAGGGAGAAGAGGAGGTGTGGGAGCACCACGGGGGGTTCACATGGAGGGGGAAATGGGAGAGGAGGAGAAAATGCATCGCCTGGGGTGCAGGAGGATGGGGAGCTGCCACTCACCCATGACCCGGAGCTCTGTCCCACACGAGTGCAGCTTCTCCTTCTGCACCAGGCCCTTCCTGTCACACACGTAGATCCCGCTGTCCTCAGAGCTGGTCCTGAGGAGGGTGAGGTTGATGGAGCTGTTCGTCCTCTCGATGTGGTAGCTGGCCGTGTTCTGATCCAGCACGGAGAGGTCCTCCCTGTCCTCTGCTGTCTTGTACCACTGCATGAGCTGGGGCTCCTGGGAGTAGCAGATGAAGTAGATGGGCATGTTCTTCTTGACGGCCACGTACCGCACGTTCTGGTGCACCGGGGGACACATGCCATCTGCAGGGGACAAAGCTGTCACTGCAGCCACTGCCGTGAGAGCCCCCCAGCACCTCCCAAAAAAGGAGCTTCCTGTTTTCATGCTGCTTTTGAGCATCCAGCTTGGTTTTGATGAATTATCCTCATCCCAAGCTCCCCAGGGAATGGTCCCAGCCCTGAGGCTGCCAGAGCTCCAGGAGGGTTTGGACAGCACTGCCAGGAAGGCACAGGGTGGGATTGTTGGGGTGTCTGGGCAGGCCAGGAATGGGACTGGATGATCCTTGGGGGTGCCTTCCAGTCAGGATATTCTGTGATTCTATGAGATCTGAGGCTTTTGGTGGAAGTCTGCTTTTAATTAATGCCTCAGGTTTAGCTTTTCTATTTTCAGGTTCTGTGCTGCTTTAGTGTGTGGGTCTGGGCTTCATATGAGGGGATGGTGAGCTCTCTGCACAGAGCAGGGAGACAAAACAATTCCTGCTCTAGCTGGGGACCAAGGACAAATGATCCAAATCTCAGGCCCAAGAGCAGAAACAATGTGGGCTGAAGACAGAAAACAAGAAGGATGGGACTGCATAACCTAAAGCTGTAATTGGACAATTAACTCCAATATGCAAATGGAGCATAGCTTATAGAAGTGTGAGACCCTGTGACCAGTGGGGCATTTTGTGACCATTTGGGTTCGCCTGGGGTGCAGCCCTGGCTGGGCTCTTGTGCTGCCCAAGGTGGATCTATTGAGGCCTCCTAATAAATAAACCTGTATTCTTCAGCTCTGTCTAGTCTCTATTCTAGGTCAGCCTGCACAAGGCATGATGATGGAAACTCCAGTTTTCTGTGGGAATGCCTTTGCTCCAGCACTTCTGTCCTGCTCCCACCCCTCTCTGTGCACGTTTAGTTAATCCCAGCTCCAAAATTACAGCCTGTGGAATCCCAGCTGGTTTCTCTTTTGCTTCCACATTTTTTTGCCTTTTGCTTTATTTTGTATTTTTTTGGCCATGTTTGGTGTCCCAGAGTCCCAGAGTGGTGACTTTAGGAGCCCATTTGGGTTGCAGAGGTCACCCTAAGGGCCCCATGGGTGGGAATGGCCAAGGACAATGGCACAAGTGCTGTGACACAAGCCCAGTGCTGGTCCCAGACTTGGCCATGCAGCAAATGTAGAGGAAAAACCTGTGGGTGCTCCGGAAAGACAAAGAGGGTCTGGCTTTGCAGAGGGAGAAGAAGGAGCAGGATTGGGGATGAGCCATGGGGGATGCCACAGCCTGGGGATGGCCTTTGCAGGGGAAAAGCCTATGGAGAGAAGGACAGCAGCTCTGTGGGACAGGAGGACCCTGGGGACACAGGCAGGGGAAGAGCCCAGAAGGTCTGGGGGTACCTGTGCTGTTCTCGGTGCTGTTCTTGTCTGCTGGGATCCCACCTGCAAGAGAGGAGAAGGGCCTGAGATCGTGGCCAGGAGCCCACCAGGATGTCCCCAGTGGGATGGATGTGCCCTGGCCCTTCCTGCCCACTCCACAGGGGATGGAGCAACAACAGAGCCCTGCTCAGAGGACCAGGGGCAGTGCAGATTTGGGTACAAACCCTTCAATTTCCATTCTGTCTCCTGAAAATTTTCCAGGTTGTTTTCTGGTTGATACCCCAGTGAAATCTGCTCTCTATAATGTCCCCGAGGCTGGTGCCTTTCGGGAAGGTCCCAGATACTCCCAGCTCTGCATTTCCACTCCCTGAACCAAGCAGAAACCCTTCCCTGCTGGGATTTCCTGGACTCGAGCCCTGTGGTGGCCAGGGCTGTTCCCAGATCCCGTAGCCACACAGCCCCCCAGGGCAAGGGCTGGTGCTGTGGGACCTGCAGTGCAGGAAGCAGGGGGAGGTGGGGACCCTCCCCAGCACCCACGGGTGCCCTGCCCACAGCTCCAGTGCCTCTGGGCCAGTTCCTCTTGCTGCAGCTGGGCAGGAAGCCCCAGCCCGCTGTTTACTGCCCCGCTTGAGTGCCCAGTTCCCTCCTCTCGATGGAGATTCACCAAACCCTGTGGAGGAGCTGGCACGGAGGTGGGGCTGCAGCACCTCCCTGCAGGGCAGCTGCAAACCTCCCCATCCCCAGAAGGAGAAGAAGGAACAGAAAAAGAAGAAGAAAGGTTCAGTTCCCCAGCCTGAGCTCTGTGCCACCCTCCTGCAGACTCCCAGCCTGCAGGAACCTCCTGACTTGGGCAGGGGCTCCTCTCATTGCCCCAGAGCCCCTTCCAGGTCCCTGCTGCCCTGTCCACGTTCAGCACCAACACCTCTGCAGGCAAATCCTCCCTTCCTGCCCCATTCCATTTTGTTCCAGGATGAGAGATGCCCTTTGTCCTGGCTGGGCACTGGCTGTGTCCCTGTCAGTGCCACCAGCTAAGGCTTTTCTCCCCAGGTTCTGTTGGTGTTTCTAAAGGAAGACCAGGCTGGTCCCTCGCACCCCTCTGAGTCAGGAATTCCACTGCAGCCACAGGAGGGCTGAACTTCCCCTGTCCTCCCCCGAAATCATCATGAGAGCCAAGTTCAAACCCTGCAGCCTTGAATCCATGCTGGGCTTGTGTGGCCACCAGGGGACCTTTCAAATGCCCTCTGTCCCGTGGGCACACGTTTCCCTTTGAGGATGGCATCTGCTACAGGTTCTTGTAGCTGTCCCTGCGTCAGGCAAGATGAGCTGGATGGGGACAGGAGCCATGTCCTGGGTTTGCTGCTGGTTCTCCAAGGGGAACAGCACAGGGATGTTCACACAGACTCCACAAATCACCCCAAAAGCCTTTTCCTCCCATTTCTCCTCTGCTCCTGGGCACTGAACCCCACAGAGCAGAGGCCATAGCCTTAGCAATGTGCCAGCCCCATACCCAGGCCTCTGAGAGCAATAAATGGTTAATAAACCTCAACGACCCTTCTTTCCTGCCACCTGCAGCCCCAGCCAGGCTGGCTCTGCACCCGCTCAGCCAAAGCCACCTGCCTGCCCCAGAATGTGTCCCATCTGCACACCCCAAGGGAAGGGAAGAAAAACCCAAACCCAAGGCAGGCACTGGGATCCGAGCCCTGTGTGCCCTCCTGGGCTCCCTGGGAGGCTCCCAGCACACAGCAGGACTGACAGAGACCAGCACAAAGCTTAAAATTATTGCACTGAGGCAGAGCTGGGGGAAGACCTGGAGCAGGGGACAGAGCTCAGGCCGTTGTCCTGGCTCCTTGCTCTGAAGTGCAAACCCCATTTGGTGCCTACCTGTGAGCAGAGGCAGCAGCCAGAGGGTCACCTGGAGCAGCCAGAGCCTCGTGCCCAGACCAGCCATACTTCAGTGCCCAGGGCAGGAAAACATCCAACCCGTGCTTCTGCAGAAACAGCGGCTGCTCCCACCACCCTGGCCCCAGTACCTAAAAATGGCAAAGCTGCCGCTCTGTGCGCGGCCCCTTTCCTGCTCATGTAAATCCTCCCCGCTGGGGACTTTCCCTCGGGGCTGGTTTTGAATGCGGCGCAGACGCTGGGGAGGCCGTGCCTGTGAGCCCCTGGGCTTCATCCACCCTCGTGTCCCTGGGCATTGTCCCTCTCCGTGTCCCTGGGCATTGTTGCTCTCAGTGTCCCTGGGCATTGTCCACCCTCTTGTCCCTGGACTTCATCCATCTCCGTGTCCCTGGGCTTCAACCACCCTCCTGTCCCTGGGCATTGTCCCTCTCCCTGTCCCTGGGCATTGTCCATCCTCCTGTCCCTGGATTTCATCCACCCTCCTGTCCCCGGGCATTGTCCATTTCTGTGTCCCTGGGCATTGTCCATCTCTGTATGCCTGGGCACTGTCCACCCTCGTGTCCCCTGCTGGCTCCCTGTGGTGCCAATATTCCCTGGAGGTGGCCAGGACTGGACCTGCAGCAGAGCTGGGGATGAGCCCATCAGCCAAGCAGGAGGTGCCAAACCTGGCTGAGCATGAGATGTGCCCAGGGAATGGCATTGGTGCTGCCTGGCCACATCTCTGGGGGGACAGAATGGGGGTGACCCCCAGCTCCCCACAGGGTGTTGGCCCTGAAGGGGATGGGCAGGGATTGATGGTGGCCAGAAGCCAGGAGCTGCAGCAGGAATGGGGTAAGAATAGGGGATGTTTGTGGGGTTGCTTGTTGTGGGATGCAGTGGGATGGGTCCCTCAGCTCCCATCCCTGCATCCCAGGGAGTCCAGAAACCTAAAATCATAGAAGCATGAGTAAATCACAAAATCATTGTGGTTTGAAAAGACCTTTAGGATCATCAGCTCAGCAGTACCACCATGACCACCACTAGCCCGTGTCCTCAAGTGCCACTTCCACGTTTTTTGAGCGCTTCCAGGGGGAAGATGAGATGGGGAAATGGCCAAAACAAGGAGTCACTTGGGTACCAGCCATGCCCACCCTTCTCCACTTCCAGGATCCTTCTCCATGGGACCTTTGAGACAGCCTGGCCCTGGGGAAGCACAGCGAGGCCCCCAAGGTGAGCTCTGCTGCAGGAGCAGTTTCCCCCAGTCTCTGCCCCGCCGGTTGTTGCTCGTTAGCAGCTGTGGGTGAGCACTGAACTGTAACTCCAGTGAAAAACACCTTTGGGTACTTCTACCAGTCCTGTTGGTCCCCAGAGCCTGGTGCCATTGCCCGGGGCCTCCCCAGACCTTCATCTTCTGCAGGCTGGGTGGGGTTTTTGCCGGTTCTGAGCATCTGATGGGTGCTGGGTACCAGCCCCAGCCTGACTTTGCATGCAAAGGGACAGGCAGCAAGAGAAATAAAGTTTTCCAGAGGAAAAGTGGGAGTGAGATGAGAGAAATTTTCCAGAGAAAAATGAGGGAGTGATGATGGGAGAGGTGCCTTCTCCTGGTTCTGTATATGGGGCAGTGCTGCCAAGTCCCTGCTGCCATCACCCCTGGGTCTGGATGGAAGAGCAGAGTCTGGCCCTGATATCCCAGCAGTGCAAAGAAAAAGGGATGCCTACATGCTTGGCAGGCACTGGAGGGGTTTTTGTAGGGTTCTGGGGCTGCAGATGGAAGCTGGGGTGCTGGAGGTGCCTGGGGAAGCCCTGGGAGGTAAAACCAGGAGTGGGACACAAACTGAAAAGGGTTTGCAGTGACAGTGGCCAAATCAGCACCTGTGCTGCCCGAGGGCTCCTTGGCACCTTTGAAAGGCGCTGAGGGGCTCAGGGCAGACCCCTGTGCTTACAGCAACCCTGACAGGGGGTGTAGGGGAACCTGGTGGCCCCACGGGGAGGGTCCCATGTCCCCACGCCTCTTCCCCTGGGCTACTCTGGCTCCCCGGCTCCCAGAGCAGAGCCCCTGCTGGCAGCTGCACCTTCCCCACCTTCCCCAGCCCTCCCCGTTCAGCGGGTTTGGGTTTCACCGTGCCCAGCACACCTGCCCGGCCCTGCAGCCCCCGCCTGCTGGCACAGACGGCTCTGCCCGGCTTACGCCAGCCCCGGGACGAGCTGTTCCAGCGTCAGCGACAGCAGCGGCGAAGCCGAGCCGTGGCCCCGGGGACGTCAGCAGGGCCCGGGCGGCTCCTCTGCACTGACGCAGAACCTCCTTCACCCACCCCTGTCCTCTCCCGGTGATGCTTACCTGCTCCCACCTGGATGCTGGGGTGGGGTTGGAGCCTGTGTGGGGCAACTTGGGGGCTTCAACCTCCTCCAAACCCTCCTCTGTCCTTGGCAGAGCCCACGGTAGCCTCTCCTGTGGCTCCCGACAAGCACCGAGGGCTCCGGGGGTATGGCATCAGGAGCAGAGCAGAGGCTCTGGGAGCTGGGCTGGAGGTCCCTGGGGACAGCCCTGGGGGCTCCTGTCCAGGATGAGACCCCCAGGTCCTGCTGAAGTTGACAGGTGCAAGGCTGAGCACAGGGAGCCAAGGGAAGGGGTGTTCATCCCTCCCAGCACAGGGAAAACATTCCTCCCCCAAGACATCCCAACACACTTGGTGCCGTAATACCAGATCATTTACAGTTGTTTATTGTAAGAAAGGTACAAAGAAAAACGGCTTTAGCTCACACAAACCCTGCTCTGGGGCATTTCCCCATCCCCGACGACACAAACGTAGAAGCAGCATCGATTGTGTACCACGGTCCGGGCGGGGACTGCCATGCCAGGGATGCTTCCCACGGAAACGCCGGCCACAGCAGCTCGGGCTCCTGCTGCGGGGAGCATCAGCATGGAAATGAAGGCACAGGGGACAAGCCGAGTGTCCCCTGCTTCTGCCACCTGGCTGGCAGCTCCTGGGTCCAAGCCAAGCTCAGCACCGCTCCTGGCCAGCCTGGCCGTGGGGCACCTGTGATGGCAGCGCCCGAAGCAGCCCGGGAAGAGAAGAGAATCATCAGAGTACAAAAAGACAGAGCCTTTGGCTTCAGGAACAGCCTTGTTTGAACTGGAAGAGGTTTTGGTTCATGTTTGTTTTTATCTCAAGAGGGTTTTTTTCCCTTTTGAAGGCAGAAGGTGATTAGAGGTGAACTCCATTTTTCACAGAATCACAGGTTGGTTTGGGTTGGAAGGACCTCAAAGCTCATCCAGTGCCACCCCCTGCCATGGGCAGGGACACCTTCCACTATGCCAGGGTGCTCAAAGCCCTGTCCAACCTGGCCTTGGGTACTTCCAGGGATCCAGGGGCAGCTACAGCTGTGCCCAGGCCATTTTCCTTGATTTACTTTCCTTTTGCTCACCTGTGTGAAGAACAGCAAATCCTGTTTTCCCCTGGGAAATCGCTCCTCTGCCTGGATGTTTCCTGGTGAGGACCTGCCTGGCCCACTCAGAACGTGCCACCAGGGCCTCTCTGCAGCCCCAGCCTAGGGAAGGATGCTCTGCCTGAGGATTTTGGGATTCACACCCCATTGGGATTGTTTATTCCATGCAGCCATCTGAGGCTTGGGTGGGATTCAGGGCACCCCTAAGGCAGTGCATAGAAAGCATCGTTCAAACATCTGCTCTGATCCCTGGGGGTGCATCTCATTAATTAACACTAACGAAGAGGACATTTGGAATGCCAACCAAGAGCACTCCAGTGGGATGGTTCCTCTTGCAACAGGGCTAGAAAAAAAACCCTGGAGAGTTTTGTCCCGGGGACCAGGGATTCTTGGAGGATGTTTTCCAAATCCTACCTTTGCCCATTGCTTTCCTGCCACAAAACCTGGATGGAAATGGGAAAAGGGAGTAAAACCTGACTATAAATAGTGTTTACATTCGTCCTACAAAGACCTGAATGATTTCTGCTTTCAATGCATATTCAGAGACCTTGAAAACCTGATATTTAACCCTGAGAACAAATCTGCAGATGCTTTGCTTTGGCTTTGCAAACCAATTTTTAAGACATAATTGCACTTTCTCTTGTATGTAACAAAAAATGATCATCAAGCTTATTCAGAGGTTCAAAAGAAAGGTGCTACTTTAAGACTTTGGAGATTTTTGTTCACAAAACCTTCTGTTTTCCGTAATTATTCTTAATATTATTTCACTTGGCTCATCTTTACTGGTTGCTTGGCTGCACTCTGGAAGAATAAAATACAGGAAAATCTCTTAATTGTGAAATAACATTAATAAATAATTACTTTAAGTGAAAGGACAACCATACTCTTCTGTTCACGCCTGAAAACCATCGTTACCATGATGAGATTATTTCAAAACTAACTTGTTTCTCTTTCACCGACAACAGATTTCACATTTGAGTTCTCATAAGAAAAAGAATTTAACTCTTTGCAAGTGCAGTGGGCTGTAAAACCCAGGATCAGGAGGAGATCCTGCTTTGAAATTCAAGGTGGTTGCTTGAAATGTCTGAAATTAGCTCAATATCTAAGATCTAGAGATCTGTGCATGGAAGAGCTTTGAACAGGAGATACAAATGAAGTCTTTTCAGGCTGGGCCAGTAGTGGAATCTCCTCGTGTTACACCAGCGACTCTTTCACCACGTGTTCCTTAACCCAAGCCTGTGCTTCCTCAGGAGCATCCTGGGGCATCTCTGAGCTGGGAATGGGCTCAAGGCCCAGGGCAGGGGCTGTGTCCACATCTGTCCCAGTGTTCCCATAGATCTCCTGCATTTTGGTGGCGATCAGCCCTTCCTTCTCGGGTGCGTCCTCGCCCAGCTCGTCCTGGCTGTGCCTGTACATGTAGGACGCCTGCTTCACCGAGCGCCTCAGGAGGTACCTCCGGAAAGCCCTCTGGATCTTGGTGGCACACACCTCCTCGTGCTTCCTCTTCAGGGTGGTGGTGATGGGTTCATAGGAAACCTTCGAGGGGTTGGCAGCCATGAACTTCTCCTCCATGGTGGCCTTCAGGGCATCCATCTCTCCCGAGTCTCCCAGCACTTCCTTAGTCAGAGCAAAGAGGATGTCTAGGCAGTGGATTTTGTCCCCAGCAACCATTGGTAGATCCATGGTGATGAGTTTGATCTTGTTGGGTTTGGGAACTCTGAGTGGCTCCTGCAAGGTGTCCACAAAGTCAGACAAGGTGCTGTAGGCGATGAACTGGGTGGCATCTGGGTCGAACTTCTCCCAAGTTTCATAAAACATTTCAAAATCATCTTCACAGAGGGGCTCGCTGCTCTCCTCTGTGGCCACGCTGAAGTTCTCCAGGATGATGGCGATGTACATGTTCACCACGATGAGGAAGGAGATGATGATGTAGCTGCAGAAGAAGAAGATGCCGATGGCGGGGTTCCCACAGTCTCCTTTCACTGAACTCCCGGGGTTCTCCAGCTCAGGGTCGCAGTCCGGGGGGCCGCTGTTGAGGATGGGGTTGAGGAGCCCATCCCACCCTGCTGACGTGGTGATCTGAAAGAGGCAGATCATGCTGTTCCCGAAGGTTTCGAAATTGAAGATGTCATCGATCCCCGACTCCTTCTTGACGTAGGCGAAGTTGGACATGCCGAAGATGGAGTAGATGAACATGACGAGGAAGAGCAGGAGGCCAATGTTGAACAGGGCGGGCAGGGACATCATCAGGGCAAAGAGGAGTGTCCGGATGCCTTTGGCGCCTCGGATCAGCCGCAGCACGCGGCCGATCCTCGCCAGCCGGATGACCCTGAAGAGGGTGGGGGACACAAAGTACTTCTCGATGATGTCTGAGAGGACGATACCTGTGGAGGGAAGAAGGGCAGATGAGTTTGCTGTTCCACCAGTGGGAGGTGAAGGGGAGCTGCTTGGCTCCACCTGGGCAGACACAGTGAGGTGAAGCCGCCCCAATGGGTCCTCCAGTGACAACATTAAAAAATAACCTCTGAGCACAGACCCAAGGGTTAAATTCTGGCTGCTCTGTTTCAGAGAAAGAGAACACCAAGGGTAATAACACCAAGGAGTGTGGTAGCAGCTCTCTGGCCACAGAGAGAAACACAACTTTCCCAGGCATCGCTGTGGGAAAAGGCTGTGAGAAGATCAGAGAAAAGAATAAGAAACTATTCTTATCTTAACTTGCTGCACCTGGTATTGTGATCATGTGGAGTGTGTTATGGAGATTTGTTTACCAACGGGTGGTTTCTTAACTAGCCAATGGTGATGGCGTTTGAATTAGAGGACCAATTAACTCCAATTGTATTGTAACTATCTATAAGAACAATAAGTTTTTTTAATAAAGATTAATGAACCTTCTGTGAATAATAAAGTCTATACTATTACCTGGCTGGGGGCCCATTACAACAATACAGGAGGAGCAGAGATCCCCAGCCCCTCACGCAGCCCGGAGTGGCCTGTCTGTCATGTCCCAGACAGGAGTGGCCTGTCTGTCATGTCCCAGGGTCCTGCTGGCTTCCCCCTTGTCCTGGGTTGACTATATGATGCTTTTATCCCCAATCGTCTTCTTCTGTTTATACTGAATAATAAGTTTTACACCTTTAAGACTCTTCCAGAGAGTGAAGAGGGGAGGGAAGAAGCGCGCAGTTTGTTTTTCAGACTGCACTCACTCCTCCACATTCCTGCTCCTGGACTGTGTTGTCTGCGGACATACAGACAGCAGGACAGACCTCCTCTTTTCCCCTTTTTTTTGCTTTTAGTTAGTTTTAGCTAGCTGAAGCAAAGAAGTTCCCTGGACTGTGATTTTTCCTTTTTCTTGGATCTGTTCAAGCCTGCTCTGGACTGAACACCCAGAAGAGCACCGGCAGCTCCACCTGAGGCCCCTTGGCCGGGCCTGGGCCGCGGCATTTCCAGCACCAGAGAGACTGATCAGAAACTGAGTGAGACGAGCTGCAACCCGGGGAGGGGACTGTTCTGAGTTTGTTTTTTTTTTTTTTGGAGCAGTGAGAAGTTTTATTGTTTAATATTGTTTGGGTTCTATTGTTTAATAAACAGGTTTCTTTCCACTTTTTCTCCAAGGAGATATTTTCTCCCGAACCGGTTGTGGGGGGGGAGGGGCAATTGAATCTGCTTTCGTAGAGAAGCCCCTTTGGGGGTTATCTCCCAAACTTGCCCTAAACCAGGACACCCCTGCTCAAAGGATGGGTGCAGGCAGGGTCCAGTACGACCCGGTGGGTGTGGATTGGTGAGACCACTTCCACTCTTCATTGTCCTGTGGGATCCCTGAGGGACTGGTGGGAGCAGCAGGACTCACCTAGGATGGAGAGGATAACCACCACGAAGTCAAAGATGTTCCAGCCCACAGTGAAGAAGTAGTGGCGCAGGGCAAACATCTTGAGCACACACTCGCCGGTGAAGATGACGATGAAGACCAGGTTTATCTTGTAGAGGACAGAGGTTTTGAGCTCGCTCTGGTCATCTGTTTCCACCATCATGGTCACCATGTTCAGGCAAATCAGGATCATAATGGTGATGTCAAACACTTGCTTGGTAACAAAGTCAAACACCTTCCCTTGGAATTTGTTCTGCAGTGAGGGACACAAAGGCCATGATGGAGCACCAGAGAAGAGGTGGGAACACAGAACAGATGCAGCAAAACAAAAAACACAACAGAAAGAGAAGAAGGAACCATATTTACAAGTGTGGAAAACCTCAGGGCTGTGGCCAGCACAGCTCTCACAGCCCCAAAAGTTATGGGGGGGAGGATTCCCAGTGCCTCTCAGGATGGAGCACACCTGGGAATGCCACAGCCAGGAGGAGTGGGCACAGGGCACAGCCACTTGCTACTTACACCCACAGCTAATAGGGCACAAATTAACACATGGGAAGGACCTCCCTTGTGCAGGGCCACAAAACCTAAATCGCAACTGAGAATGTTTTGGCTGGACCAGGGTCCCTTCTGGGGGGTTGAAAGCTGAGCTTTCCCTGAGCCCAACTCCCTTTCAGAGAGGGCTGGGAGCTGAACAAGGAAAAATTTCCAAATTCCTGCAAAACAAACCCCATCACTGCCCTTGCCAGCAGACCAAGAGCTAAAGGGCAGACCCAAAGGAGGTGGCCTGATGTCACCCTCTTCTGAAGCTGCAGCTCTTGGTCAGGTCCTGTCTGCAGAGCAACAATGGGGCAAGTGGTCTTCCCTGGACCCTTCTCGTTCCCTCTGGGATGGCTGGTGGCTTGAAGTGTTCCCTGCTTGCTCCACTCCAGGAGGATGAGCCCAACGTACCGCTGGCCTGGGGATGGGCTTCTGGGGTTTCTTGGAGCCCAGCTTCTTCATGGCGTTGTAGTATTTCTTCTGCTCTTCTGTCATGAAGATGTCTTTGCCTCCAAAGTATAAAGGGAATCATTGCTGTTAGTCTCAGGAATTCTCTTCCGACTAAGTGTGTCTGACCATGTCCCTCCCCACCAAGTGTCTCCAGCCCCTCAGAGATCCTGCTGGGAGCAAGATGTCCTCTCTGTGTCCTGCAGACCCTGCTCAGCACCATCAGTGTGCTTGGCCCTGTCCACCCTCCTCCCCTGCTCTGGGCTGGCAGTCCTGAGCTACTGGCTTGGAAGCAGAAGTTGTGTGTCAGCCTCGCGCATGGGAAAATGATCCCAGGGTGGGAAAAGAAAATAAAAGTAATGGCCCAGGCAAGAGAAAACACAGCCTCCCTTTGCTTCCTCCCTTTGCACCCATAAATTAAGTCCTCTGTAACTGCTGTGACCTGGACACAAAGCTCCACGTGCTGTTTGCCCAGTGCAGGAAGCCACTAATGACAGGAATCCTGGGATCCATCCTTGTCCCGGGCATGGTGGCCCTGGTCCCATCACCCACTGCTGTGCTGGCCCCCTCTAGCCTAGAGCAGCACCTCAACAGCCAGGAGATACTCATCTTTTTCTTCTGCTGGTTGAAGTTGTCGATGATGACGCCGATGAAGAGGTTCAGGGTGAAGAAGGCACCGAAGATGATGAAGATGACGAAGTAGATGTACATGTAGAGGTTGATCTCGTACTGTGGCTGCTCTTCAATCTGGCCAGGAGAGATGGGAAATGTGAGGCTGACCCTGTCCCAAAAAGGTGTCCCCAAGCCCCCAGACAAGGGCTTGTGGTTTTTGGACAGAGCCAGGGTGTGGCTGCTCCAAAACTTTTGGCTGTGTGTTCCCAGTGGGAGCAGCCACAGGAAGGGACATCCACGTGACACCGACTGAGGGACAAGGACATGCTGCCCCCTGATCCCACAGCATGGGCTGGGGAATGGGAAAGGATGTCCTTTGCAGTGATATTAATGAGAAATTAGTTTCTTCCCAATAATCAGTATTCCAAGGGCTGAAATATATCTGAGAGGGGAAAGGAAAAGTGGATTAATTTGTCACATCAGCACAGCTGGGTGAAGGCCAGACAAGCCTGGACAATTCTCATTATCCCAAGGAGCATCCCTTAATCCTGCTTTGTGTTTGACCAGACACACCCCAAGGTGACCCCATTGGCTTCTCCCATTTTGAGGAAAGCTCTTGACAGAACAGGGAGGATTTTCTCCCAAACCAGCTTTGCCCCAGGTGGGGCAGAGGCCTGAGGGATTTTCAGAAGGTGATGAAAGGGTGCTAAAAAAAGGCAATGAAAATCACCCCTTCAGGCCTGTAGGTGTGTGGGGTTACCCCCAGTGTAACTGGAGAACAGTAGGAAACCCCTTCTGCTGTGGGGGACACTTTTGGGGGTGGATCACAGTAGGAACAGCCTTTGCATGTCACTCTTCAAACACTTAGGGTTTTTTAATAACTCATTGAACCCCATGGTTGAACACTGGCTGCTCTGTTCTCATAATCCACTGATTGCTCAAGGCAAGCCAGGTACTTTCTCCAGGATGGGATGAGCTTTCCCAGCTAGAGGGATCCCAGAGGACATCATGTCACAGCAGGCAGAAGAACGAGCCCTCCAGGCTGGAGCAGTGGGGGCAGAACAGGGATTTTGGCCCCTGGAACTGAAGCTGGGTGGAGTAGATTCAGCCCCAGCTGTGGGGCAGGTTGGGAGCCCAGTGTGGGGCCAGGCTGCAGGTGACAATGACATGGGTGACACAGGGACACATGGCTGCCCTCTTTGAGGCTGTCCACCTCAGCAGAGGGATGTTGTGGCTGCCCAGGTGCCCCAGGCTGGGTTGGACAGAGCTTGGAGCACCCTGGGATAGTGGAAGGTGTCACTGCCCATGGCAGGGGGAGGCACTGGATGGGCTTTAGGGTCTCTTCCAACACAAACCACGCTGGGATTCCATGATCTGATACATTCTGGGGGTTTCTCAACCCTGTAGCCCATGTCCTGGCTGGAGTCATGGGTGGGATGCAGCACCAAAAGGCACAGCTAGGGGTGATGCTGTAGCCAAGGATCCATCCCAGCCTCAGCTCTGGGCTCCTGTTCCCAGGCTGCCAAGGGGAATCCACCCTGGAGTCAGCCCCATGTCCCTGCATGTCCCCTCACCTCACGTGAGTCCACGGCTGCATACATGATGTCCATCCAGCCTTTGAAGGTTGCCTGTGGGAACAGGAATGGTCAGGCTTGGAGTCTTTTCCAACACAAAGGATTCTGTGATTCTGTGACAGTGAAGAATGTATTTTCTGGGTATTGTTGTGGCTGGGAAGAAAGGGAAGGTGATGGGTGCGCGTCAGGGGTTTGGCTCTGAGCACTCTGGCTTCTCTGTGGGAATGGCAGGAGAGGAACAGGGGTTGAATCCACAAGAAAAATGTCCCAGAAATATGGAAATTCCCAGGTGAATATGCATGGACCCTTCTGGGGCTGAGGCTACCACTGACCTTCCAAAACACCGCTGCAAACAAGGCAGGGAAAAGAAGGAATTGACACTTTTCTCCTTGCTGCTCTCTTTGAAGTCATTTTCCCAAAGGCAGAGCTGTGCCAGGGCCAGCTGCCTCCTTTCCAGTCCCAAACTGTGCCACCTCCATAGACCTGACTTCCAGATCCTGCCTCTTCTTCTGCTGAATTCCCATCCTAGCGAGGTGGGGGACCACACTAAGTCTTTTACAGGGTCTCCACTGCATCTCTTACAGCCTTTTGCTGCTGATTTGTTAAACAAAAGGTCTGCACATTTTGTTTCCTGAATCTGATGGAACAACAAGGCTGAAGAGGAAGCTGAATTTAGAAGCAGGGTGATCAGCTGGGGTTGTTTTCCGATTCTGCAGCCACCAGTTCCCCTGGATCTGATGGGAGTAGCCCCAGCCTGCCCAATAATGGAGCCCACATCTACATTTTTGTCAAAGCTGTGGTGAGCAGTTCCCCTTTGCTGCCTGGCCCAGCTGTGGGGAGTTCAGTGGAACCCGGGTGCCTTCACCCCCTGCCTCCAGGGGACACGTGTGTCCTTTTTCCAGTCGTCACCCATCCCACACACAGTCCCACAACCCACGGCTGGCGCAGACTGAACTTTCCAAAGGGGTGCAGGGGTACCACAGAGCCTTCCCTCCTGACTCCTACACCCCATGCTGGGCAGGGGCTTCTCTGCAGTCCCAGCCTTGGTGCTGCTGCACCCATCTGCGCACCCATCTGCTCCTTGGTGAAACCTTCCCCTCCCATCTTCTACCCTGTCCCTTTTCCTCTTGGCTAGGAGTTTCCCTCCTTTCCTAAGGGTTTTTTTTGGTGTTAAAAACCGACTTTGGAGATAAGAAGCAGCTAAGAAACCCCATCCCACATCAGCCCTGATGCCCATCCCACCGCCCTGCTCCACACATGCTGGATGGTGACACCCAATGTTGTGACATACCACCTGCAGCAGGGACAGGTATCCCAAGCCCACGTTGTCGAAGTTGACCTTGACGTTGACCCATCTGACCTCGTTGGTGTGGAGCAGGGCCATGCAGTCGCTCTTGTTGTTGACCACGTCGATGTCGAAGAGCTCCCCGGTGGTGGTGTTGACACACCTGTAGTACTTGCCTGCGAACAGGTTCACCCCCATGATGCTGAAGATCAGCCAGAAGATGAGGCAGACAAGCAGGACGTTCATGATGGAGGGGATTGCACCCACCAGGGCGTTCACCACCACCTGCAAGGAGAGAAAAGACCTTGGGGGACCTGCATGGGACCTTCATGTCCCCATGCCCAACCTTGCCCCCCCCAGCAGCACTGAGTGAGGTCAGACAGGACCAGAGGTACCTCAGCATTGATCCCACCAGTCTGGAGCCCCTGAAAACCAGCTGGGATGTGCGTGATGTAAAGGACTGCTGAGGGCTCTCATGTCCCTGTCAGGGCCAGCAGCACACGGGGACACACTTACCCTCATGCCCTCAAAGCGGGACAGAGCACGCAGGGGTCGCAGAGCCCTCAGTGTCCGCAGGGATTTGATGGCTCCCAGCTCAGAGTATCCCAGCCAGTTTGCTGTCAGGCTGACCAGGGACACCTGGAAGGAGCAGCCCAAGTGGTCAGCAGCACCTCAGGTGGAAACACAGCTGCAGCTCCTGCCCTTTGCTCTCTCCCCAGTCCCTCAGGCTGGTGGTCATCCTCTAGCCCTGGGACACGGACACTGAGTCCTTGGGGTCCCTGGTGACCAGACACCTCAAGGGTCACAGAATCGCAGGATGGTTTGGGTTGGAAGAGACCTTAAAGCCCATCCAATGCCACTGCTGCCATGGCAGGGACAGCTCCCACTGTCCAAGGCTGCTCCAAGCCCCATCCAACCTGGCCTTGGGCACTGCCAGGGATCCAGGGGCAGGATGACACCTCTTGAGTGTGAGGGTGGAATTGATGTGGGGCACAGACAGGACAGACAGGACAGATTGCTCTGTCATGGACCATTTGGGAGACCCTGTGTCCCTTCACAGCTCTGCTGGGCCTGGTGGAACTGCAGGGGCTGTTCTTTGCTTGGGTGTGAAACAGAAGGGTTTGAAAGGTTCCTGCAACCAGGAATGAAGTGTTCCTTCCTGTGGGAGACCATTATTCTGAGTATTGCTATAAGCCCTCATTCCACAGCCACCCCTTTATCCTCTAAAATGCAATCTGGGTTCATTTACAGCAGCCCCTAATGCCCCAAGCCCCCTGGCTTGGCCCTGCTCAGCACATACATCCACGATGAGGAAATCCAGCCAGCACCAGGCATTGGTGAAGTACACCTTGAAGCCATAGGCCACCCACTTGAGCAGCATCTCGATGACGAAGATGTAGGAGAAGACCTTGTCTGCGTATTCCAGGATGGTGCGGATCACCTTGCGCTGCTCGATGTAGATGTCCTCGAAAGCCTGCAAGGGGCACGGAGCTCTGTGACAGTCACATCTTCCACGGGATCTCACGGAGCTCTGTGACAGGCACATGGGACCACGGGACCCCACGGAGCTCTGTGACAGTCACATCTTCCACGGGACCTGTGGCACCCCAGAGCACACCCTTGCTGGCATCTCCCTGCCTTCCAGGGGGGGAGATGCCTCCCCCTCCCGTGGACACACAGCCCAGAAGCTGTTGAATCATCCAGGGATGCAAACCTTGGAGGATTGCTGGGACCTGAGCTTTGCTTCTCATCCAGGTTCAGAGGAACAGAAGGTCCCCTGATCCCAGCCTTCCTCCCAGCCCTGCTTTCCAGGGCTCAGGAAGCTGGGAGCCCAAGGATGGCTGGTCCATGAGCACTTGATCCACATGGGGTCCAGCTCCTGCTTGCCAGTCCCTGTTGGCTTTGTGGGGTTGGACCCAAATGAGAGCTTCACTGAAGCCAAGGTGCAGCTGCATCCAACTCCCAGGTGTCTCAGCTCCAAGCCCGGGACACCAACCCACACCCTGGGATGATCTGGGAGGTTTGAAAATGCCCTGAGGAGTTTGGGGGAGTGCCACACCCACGTGCTGAGTAAGCACTCGGAGTTAGGGGTGTGGTGACCAGGTGCTGCACAGCTGGGGGAGCACAGCTTTCAATTCCTGCACCAGCTACAACCTCAGACATCCCCAAACCACCTCAGAGCGAGCTGCAGACATGTAAAGTGTGTCTGAAAAGCCTCTCAGTCCCTCTGTTCTCCTTCCCTCTCTCTTCACCTCCAAACCTGCAGAGAAATTTGTATTTCTTGGGTTAAATCCAGCCCAAACACTCAGAGAAGAGCACCAGGCCAGGCCAACACTGATAGTGAATTAAATTGATTTAACATAACACCCAGGTTCTGAGAGGGGGCACCAGGCACTGATGGAGATGCTGAACAGCAAAATAAAAACCATGAACTGTTTGTCAAGCACCTCCTGAGAGCTGGTGCTGGTGAAATGAGGAACCACAGGAAGCTCAATAAATGGCTCAGATGGTTCATAGTTGGCATTAAGAGCAGCAGTGGGGGCTGTAGGCAGTGGCATCCCCTCGAGCCATGGACCACAGCCTGTGGGTGATGGTCCAGGAATGCTGGGGAGGGTGACCAGGGCTCCTGGAGGATGTTAGAGCTGAGCCAAATGGAGTTTGAACTCAAACATCTGCCCACAGCTGGATTATTCAGCACAGGAGATGCCCAGAGCCAAGGCTCTGTCCCCTCCCTGGGCTCCCCCAGGCTGGGAAGCTGCTGCAGGGCCCTTGGGAGAGGGGAAAGGTGGCACCTACCAGAGCCCCACTGCTGAGGAGGATCATGAAGACGATGAAGGTCTCGAACCAGTCGTGCTCCACGATGCGGAAGCAGGTTTTCCTGAGGTTCCACCAAGTCTTCCCCTTCTCACTGGTGATGTCCACGTAGAGGCAGGGGAACTTCTTCACACAGCCTGGGGACGGGGCGGGGGGCGGGTCACTCCTGGCCAGGGTGTTCCCACTATTCCCGGTTTTGTTGGCATTTTAAACCCTCCCTGGTGGAAGATGAACCAGGATCCTGCTGGGTTTAGGTGGGTGCATGAGGGGAGCTCCATGGGGATCATCTCTGGGGTGGTACAGGAGGATTTGGGGCCGAGCTCAGGGAGCCTGGGGGTCTGTGCTGCAAGAACTGGTTGGCAGTGGCCCCTCCAGCCCCATTTTCCCCTCTCCACACCCATCTCCCCTGTCCCCAGGGTCCCCAGCCCTGCTCTGCCCCTCACCTTCAGTGAAACACTCCTCGGGCTCGTTGCCCTCCTCAGCCTCCTCTGCCACCTCCTCCTCCTCGGGCGCGGGGGGTTTGTAATCCACCGTGCTGCACACGGACGAGGCGTTGTCGCTGCACAGGGGGTTCTGCAGAGGGACAGCGACTCAGGCCAGGCTCCTGGCCTTGGGCTGCCTCCAGCCATGCTCCTCCTGCCCCAGAGAGCCCGGGCAGGACTCCTGGGTGGTGGGACCCCCTTATCTGGGGGATGCTCTGAGTCCCCCTCCCGTGGACACACAGCCCAGAAGCTGTTGAATCATCCAGGGATGCAAACCTTGGAGGATTGCTGGGACCTGAGCTTTGCTTCTCATCCAGGTCCAGAGGAACAGAAGGTGCCCTGATCCCAGCCTTCCTCCCAGCACAGCAGCTCCATCTCCCATCCACCTGTGCCACCACCTCAAGCTGATTTTCTCACCTCCTCCTCTTCCCCCTCTGTGTGTCCCCATCCAAGACTTGCTCTGCCAACCCCCCTTGGTGCAGAAACCCAAGCAGCTTCTCCTCTCTCCTCCCTCTGCTCAGCTCATGCTGCAGGGCCCTCAGCCCGAGGTTCACCCCAGTTCCAAACCTGCATCCCAAATGCCTCTCTCCAGCTCCACCCTGCTCCAGACCTTAGCTTGGCTGCCTTCCCAGACACCACTCAGCAAGGCCAGAGGGGCTGATAACAAGAGACAACCTTGGCAAGCCCCTGGGACTCTTTTCCTCTGGTTTTTTTTTTTTTTTTTTTTGGCTTTCTAAGAAGCCCTCGTGCAACACTTGAGGAAGGAGCCCTGCCTATCCTGCCTGGGAGCAGCAGGAACCAGAGGGTCCAGGATGGGTATTTCCAGCACAGGAAGGTGTTGGCTTACATGGAAGGAGATAATTCTCCCCTCAGGCTGCTCCTGCTTTTGGTAATCCATAAAGGAGCTGCTCCATCCTCCAAAAACCAGGGAAAAGGCCCTGGGGTAAACTGAGGCACCGTCACTGCCCACAGCTTCAAGGGCCACAGCCACCTCTCTGTGAGAAGACGTGGCTCTGGGGACCTTTGGGGACAGGCAGGAGAGGGCACAGCAGCAGGACTGGCACCAGATCTCAGCTGGTGGCTCTCAAGGACCACTGGGACCACCCTCAGTCTGGGGGGAGGGACAGGAGGGCCAGGGGGATTAGGGAGGCTCAGCACGGAGCCAGGCAAGCTGTGACCCCAGAGAAGGACACACAGGAGCCATCTGCCTCCAGGACAGCCTTAGAAAGGGTCAGGGTGGGGACAAACCAGTGCAGCTGCCCTGGAGAGGTGGGGGAAGGTCCAAAAGGGCCTTGGGTGGCTCAGGGAGCCCAGGAGATCTGTGGGTGGGGCTCAGGGCAGGTTCTGCTGGGTGGGGACAGGGATAAAAACCCATCCTTGGGGGTTCCTGAGCCCTCCCACACCTGGAACCAGCAGGTTTGGAGGGCAATTCCCATCCCACACCTGGCACAGCATCTCCAGCCTGCCTGGGGCTGCCCCACCCTGACTCACCCCATGACCCCAAAATCCACAGCCCTGCGAATCACAGAATTGTTCAGGTTGGAAAAGCCTTCTGAGTGCATGAGTCCAGCACTGCCAAGGCCACCACTGACCATGTCCCCAAGTGCCACATCCACAGGGTGTGTCTGTCTGAAATTTCCCTCATTCTTTGCCTCCCGATTGTTGTGAAAAGACAAAAATTGGGACCACTGGGGAAAAGAAAGATCCTGTTCTGAAATCTGGGTCAGACTGTTCCACCAAGCCACAGGTGTGTTTGCTCACCCTATGGAACACTGCACATGAGAAGGGACACTCTGCCCTCCTTTGCCTGCATTGCTTTGCCTGCACTGGTCCTGGAATTTTCCCCACCTCCCAGCTTGGCTGGACTTTCTCTCTGGAATCACCTTTTGGTGGTCCCCATGAATTAGACCCTCCATTTACCAACATCAACCACCGTGACAGATGGACTGAGAGGGGAGAAGCCTTTCTCTCAAGGACTGAGACATGAGACTCCTGTATGGAAAAGCTCCTCCTTTCTTCCCCAAGGACTGAGGCTGAAACCGCTATCGCAGGCGGGGGGGGGAAGGTGTGTGTGTGGAGGCCAGCTGGATGTTTGCTGACCACTGGACCAAGAAGACAATGGCTTTTGCCTACTGCTCTGGAATTTTTGTACCCTTTTTCAATAGACTATTCTCTATTACATTTGATTTGAAACATATCCCCTTCCCCCAATCAAAAAATACTATAATAGAGGTTAGAGCTGACCAGCATCTCTGAGATCTCCCCTGATGTGAATACAACAGGCTTTGTCGACTGGACTTCGAAAGACTTCATCATCTCACATCTGGTAGCTATAAACCTCCTTTCTTTTCCTCCCCTCTTTTTCCTTATTCTTTCCCTTTTGTTTATTCCCTTTCTCCCTAACATATTTTGCTGTGGTCATTCAATAAAGGTACATTTGTTTTTGATTATCACTGCAAAACCCCCTTGTCGTGTTGATTTTTTGCACCCTAAGATCAATAAAACAGACCATCATGAATCTTGTCCTTGAGGACAGATCGTGACACACGGCTTTTAAACCCCTCCAGGGATGGGGACTCCTCCCCTGCCCTGGGCAGCTGTGCCAGGGCTGGACAGCCCTTTCCATGCAGGGATTTTCCCTAATTTCCAATCCAACCTGCCCTGGCCCAGCCTGAGGCCGTTCCCTCTCCTCCTGTCCCTGTTCCCTGGAGCACAGCCCGACCCCCCGGCTGTCCCCTCCTGTCAGAAGTTGAGCAGAGCCACCAGGGCCCCCTGAGCCTCCTTTTCTCCAGGTGAGCCCCTTCCCAGCTCCTTCAGCCCCACTGACAACACCCCTGTGCTGCAGCAGAGCCAGGAGCATCTCAGGAACATCTGCCTGCCCAGCAGGGTGGGATCCCATGGGAGAAGCCCCTGGAACAGCCCTGAGCCCTGCACGGATTCTGCAGAGCCACTCAGGGGGGAGCCAAGGGGGTGCATTAAAAACAGGGGCTCTGCCCAGGCAGGGGGAATGATGGGCTGAAATTTATAATGAAATCACAAATTATTTGGGTTGGTGAGAGTCTCAAAGACCATGTAATTCCACCCCCTGCCATGGCAGGGACACCTTCCACTGTCCCGGGGCTCCAAGCCCGGTCCAGGCTGGCAGCTCCTCCCTGCTCTGAGCTGCGAACAGAAACCAACCACGAGACTCAGAACTGTAGCTGCGATGATCCTGTCCCTGCCATTTCCCCGAAAAAGAGCTTTTCCTCGGAAAGGAGCTGCTCTGGGGGTGGGGAGGACTCAGCGGGCGGTCGGGGCCGTGGCGGAGCGGGCGCTGCGCGGGGCTCTGGCTCCCTCTGCAGCTGATCCCGGCTGTGAGCGCACCGGCACCAGCCCGAGCAGCGCAGGGCTCCCGCCCCCAGCGCCTGAGTGCTAGATTAAATAATTGTCATTTCACATTGTGAACACGGGCTGCGAGAGCTGGGGGTGCTCAGCTGGAGAAGGGGAGGGTCTGGCGGAGCTCAGAGCCCTTTCCAGGCACTAAAGGGGCTCCAGGAGAGCTGGAGAGGGACTGGGGACAAGGGATGGAGGGACAGGGCGCTGCCAGAGGGCAGGGCTGGATGGGAGATTGGGAATTAGGAATTGTTCCCTAGCAGGGTGGGCAGGTCCTGGCACAGGGTGCCCAGAGCAGCTGTGGCTGCCCCTGGATCCCTGGCAGTGCCCAAGGCCAGGCTGGACACTGGGGCTTGGAGCAGCCTGGGACAGTGGGAGGTGTCCCTGCCATGGCAGGGGTGGAATTGTATGGTCTTTGAGACTCTCACCAACCCAAATTGTGATTTCATGATGAATTGCAGCCCATCATTCCCCCTGCTTGGGCAGGGCCCCTGTTTTTGATGCACCCCCTTGGCTCCCACCTGAGTCAGCTTTGACTGGATTTAGGCACCAAACCCAACAGCCCCGATGGGCTGAACTGGTATTTACTGGTTGAGAGGTGCCCTTTGCCTTTGCTGAGCTCAGTTATCCCATGCAGTGTTTGCAGGGGGTGCTCTCTGCTGAACACCTAAAGCCTGCTCTCCTAAAGCCCACGGTTTGGCAGTGACAGGGGCCAGGCCCACCTTTCCTCCTGTCCCCCTCTGCACCCCAAATGCTAAAATCTCCCTGTTGCCCCAGATAACATTAAATAATCATGATTGTCCCCTCTCCTTGCCCTACGTTGTGCCAAGCTGGGTCCCTGTCACCGTACTGAGCTGTGAGGAGCCTGCAGGGGGGAGGGAGGTGAGAGGCTCTGCAGTTTTGGGAGCTCTGCTTCTTTTTCCAGCCTTTCCTGGGCTCCCTGTGCAGTCCCATCCAGGTGCCTCCTGGACCTGGCAGGGCTGCTTGGCATGGAGCTTTCCAGAGTTCCCTCAGCTTCTGGAACACGTTTGCCAACCAGTCATAACAAATCCCTGCTCAGAGCTGTTCTATTGTCCAGACAAAGCCCCTTCCCAGGCTGATGCACCTGCTCCTGTCCCCATCAGCACCTCCAGCTGCCCCCTGTGTCCCCAGGACCTTGGGTTGAGCAGTAATTTCTCACCACACTATCACCCTTTTGTGTCCACTTGGGTCTTCCCAAGTTTCTTGTCCCCCTGCCACCCTCCCAGTGGACCCCAGCAGTCCCCTGGAGAGCAGACTCAGCTGTCTCAGCTTTGGATCCCCCACCCCTTGCTTCATGTTCACCCCGCTAAGCTCCTCCATCTGGTCTGGGCCCCCCCAGGATGATGCTTCCCGAGGCATTAGCAGTGGATCCAATGATAGTGCCATCAGCAGATTTCCTGGCATCGGGTTCCTCTAGGACATCTTTAACCCCAAACGGGCGCTCTGACCCTTGCACTGCCCCTGTGCTGCCCTCTGGCATCAGCAATAACCCCCAGTCTGACCCAAACCAGACAAAGCCCTGCTTGGACTCTCCCCTCCCACTCCAGATTACACTGGGAAATGCCAGCTTGGAAAATGCCAAGTTTGGCCTGTGCCACGCCCTGTGGGAAAGACGAAAGTGACCCAAACCAACATCACTCTTTGGGCAGCACAGCAAGAACAGGCCAGTCCCAGTTTTGGGGTGAAACCCTTCCCTTCCACCCGCCTTGCTGACCTTGGTGGTGTCCTCGGTGTCAGACTGGGTGCTGGTCTCCTCGTAGAGGTCGGACTCCTCAGAGGCGATGGGGACCTGCACCGTCAGGTTGGGGTTGTTGATGAAGTTCATGTGGTCCAGCTCATCCATGAAGATGTGCTCCTTGCCCGTGATGCCATCCAGGTACCCTGACTTGGGCTCCAGGGCCGTGTCCACGTGGTTGAGCACGGAGTTGTCCCTCTTGCTGGGGTCCTGCTCTTCCTCCGGTGCCACCTTCTTGCCCTTCCAGAGGCGGCGCAGCAGCGCCAGCAGCGTGGCCTTGGCGAGGGCAATGCCGCGCGTGATGCGGCCGATGGCGATCTGCAGGTTGTTCAGCTCCCCGTCATCGTCCGACGCCGCCAGGCTGTCGGCGCTGAAGGAGCTCAGCAGCAGAGCCAGGAACAGGTTCAGCACCTGGGGGGACAAAGCAAACGCCAGCCCTGAGGTCCAGCGGGTCCTGAACCCCAGGATTTCCCTCTGGAGCTGCAGGGATCACCGGTGGCTGTGGAGGAACTCCTCCATGGGCTCTGCCCTGCCCTCACCAGCTCTGAGGCCTGCAGAGGTGCCAGTCCCAGTTCCTGGAGGGCATGGACGTGCTCCTCCTCAAAGCCCCTGTGTCGCCCTGATTTTGTAAGACTTTGTTAAGCCTTCTGATGTTTGCATTCTTTCAACAAACTTTCTCACACACAGTTCTGTAAATAACCTATGTTTTGCATTCTTTCATGGAGGTGGAGAGAATTGATGGACTCTTGGTCTGTCCAGTGGCATTGGAGAGGTGGCACTGTCACCCTCCAATCCACTGTCACCTTTGGAAAACTATAAATGTTGGAGTCAGAAAATAAAGTTCTTCTTCTTCTTCTTTTTGTTCCCCTCGAGAGCAGCAGTATCTGTGTCATCATTTCGTGTCTTATCACAACACCCCTGGGCTCTGATGCCTTCCATCTCAGCCTGGGCTCCCACAGTCCTGCAGATCCCTCTGCAAGTGATGCCAGCCATAGTTTCAGCTCCTCTCAAGCTCTCCTGTGGATCTGTGTGTCCCTTCCTTTGGTCTCTTGGAGCTCCAGGAATCCCATGGGGGACTCCCCAAGACTCTGGTGCTTCTCCCCACCACCCCCAGGGAGGCAACTCAGCTCTTGTGGCTGCCCCTGGATCTCTGGCAGTGTCCAAAGCCAGGCTGGATGGGGCCTGGAGCAACCTGGGATAGTGGAAGGTGTCCCTGCCCATGTCACAGGTGGGGCTGAGTGCTCTTGAGTGTCCCTTCCAACCCAAACCAGTCTGGGACTCCACGGTGCTGTGATTATGTGCCTTCTCCCCAGAATGAAACCTCCTGCTTGTCCTCTTAGCTCTCCCTCTCCTCTTCCATGGCTTTGGTAGCCCAGACTCCCAGCAAGCTCCTGAGGGTCTCCCACACCCTGGGGCCATGGAGGAGCCTGGACTTGGCTGTGACCCCATCCCTGTGTCCTGGACACTGCTCTGCTCCATCAAAGCCATGTTTCACCCCAGCGCGAGCCAGTAAATGCTCTGTGTAACTCCAGGCATGGGCTCGTGTGCTTCCCCTTCTACCTCACCATCCCAAAACGTGACTGGAGCCCACCACAGCCTCTCCTGGCACAGCTGGGGCTGCTGCCTGCCAGGAGCCGGGAGCAGTTCGGGAGCAGAGGGGTGGGATGGGCTCCCCCGCGGGGCACAGCAGGGACCGAGCCAGCCCACAGCTGTCGGTGTTTGTGCCGAGCTGCGCGGTGCCAGCAGCGCATCTGAGACGGGAATTAGCTGCTATCCAAGGACACTGCTGTTTTCACATGGCTCATGCCATGTGCCTTAAACCACGTCTTTAAATAAATCCCCGCGGGCCCAGCAGGCGAATGCCCCCGTTAAGTACCAGTTACAGTTAATGGGCGCCGCTGGCTTTGTTGGACAGGACTCCGTTACCTTGTCACCCGACTGACTTCCTCCCTTTTCCCTGAATAACCCCAAAGGAAATGCTCAAAGTGTCATTAAGAGCAAAGGACGGGTCACCTTCTTCCTGCGTGAGAAACACACACCTCCCTGCACGGGGAGCCTTGGGAGCCTCTGGGAAGGGCTCCAGGGCTCGGAAATACCTGAGACACTGCCAGGAGAGCCTGGCAGAGAGGAGGAGGAGGGCACAGAGGGCTCTGGCCATGTTTGTGCTCCGTGTTTGTGTTTCTCTGCTGGGCTGTAAATGGAGCCCGTGCAGGAGCTGCAGAGCTACCCCGAGGGCTGGGGTGCACCTTTGGGAGGGGACAATGGCACCTTCGGGAGGGGACAATGGCACCTCTGGGATGGGGACACCTGCACCTCTGGGAGGGGACAATGGCACCTCGGGGGGGGGGGCTGTCACTGACCCCACCAGCTGAAATTGTACTGCCCCTGTTTCTTCTGCCCTGGAGGAGTGGGTGGACTGTGCTGCTCCAAAAATGAGCTCCAGAAGAGGAAACCTCCCAGAGCCCCTTTTGGGAGGGTTCTGCAGGGAGCCCCAGATGGGATTTCCAGTCCAAACTCCTGCACTCCCTGCAGAAAGCTCTGGACAGGTACCTGCTCCTTACAGGGGCCCTTGTGGATGATTTTCAGCATGGCCCAGCCTTACCATCCCCTGCGTCACAAGCCTCTGCTGGCTGGTGGGAGATGGGCAGCGCGGGGGGCTCGGGCTGCTCCCCTCATCTGCCCAGCACCGCCCTGGGCAGGGTCTGCAGCCAGGGGCTCTCCCTTCAAAGCCCCAGATCCCTGGCATGAGCCAGGGAAGCCAAGAGGTACACAAATCCCAACTTTCTGCCCTCAAAGTGGGACACTCCAAGCTGACCCAAGCGGGGGGCTGCTCAGGGTTTCTCCCCGGGCTCCTTTCAGAGCCTCCCTGGGGACAGGGGTCAGCAGCTCCAGGGGGCAGATAGTTTTTCAAAGCAAATTCCAAAGGGATTACACAACCCCGGCAAGTAATAGGAGCGAGTCGGCGCTTCACTCCCCTGCCCTGCTCCTCAAGAAGGGAGAGCAGGGCCCACGCAGGCTGCAAAACAAGCTCCAGAGCTGCCAGCGATGGGGTTACCAAGTTTAGAAAGGATTTCACGCTCGCCTGGAACTCACAAACCTGCAGCTCAGGCAGCACAGGCAGCTGGGGGGAGTGGGGAGGGTGGGGTGTAGGGTGGGGGTGAGGGGAGTAGGGGGTCCCACAGACTCAGGGAAGGATGTTGGCCATCACCAGATGCCACCTGGAGCATGGTGAGGGCTGGGAAAGTTGGGGATCTGCAGGAATCTTGGGGGGAGGGCTGCTCCCAAAAGCACCTGGAGCAAAGGGTGGGATGGATGGGTGGGTGGAAGACGGATGGATGGATGGATGGATGGATGGATGGATGGATGGATGGATGGATGGATGGAGCTCTGCCTCCATCCCTAATCAGGAGAGTGAGAAATGGGGCAGGAAAGCTGGAAAAGCCAAGTGGAGGACACAGGGAAGCTTGAAGCTGAGCTCTATTTTATCCCAGAGTGGCTCCGGCCTCTGCCTAAAGCCCAATTGTGTTTTCTGTGCCTCAGTTTCCCACCAGTTCCTGGTCTGGTTTCAGCTGGGGGTCCCTCAGGAACCATTCCTCCCTCTCTTTCACACAGAGCTGACACAGCCCACCCAAAGGGCCTGGGGAGGGAGGAGAATCCCTGTGCTCCCTGCAGCTCCAACCAGACCCTGCCATGGGCACAGCCCTGTGGAAAAGCTGAGCTGGACAGAGGCGTCCCCACCCCAGCACCCCCTGTGTCCCCCAGCCCCCAGCCTCACCACGAGGTTGCCGATGACCATGACCATCATGAAGACGATGAGGCACATGGTCTGGCCCGCCACCTCCATGCAGTCCCACATGGTCTCGATCCACTCCCCGCAGAGGATGCGGAAAACAATGAGGAAGGAGTGGAAGAAGTCGTTCATGTGCCAGCGGGGCAGGGTGCAGTCCACAGAGATCTTGCACACGCACTCGATGTAGCTCTTGCCAAAGAGCTGCATCCCCACCACGGCGAAGATGAAGACGATGATGGCCAGAACCAGCGTGAGGTTGCCCAGGGCACCCACGGAGTTGCCGATGATCTTGATGAGCATGTTGAGAGTGGGCCAGGACTTGGCCAGCTTGAAAACCCTCAGCTGCGGGGAGCAAGGAGAGAAGGGGGGTGGCTGGGGGTGTCATTGCCACAGCAAGGCTGTGCCACTGCCATTGCACCCTCCTGGGGCTGTTTGACCAAGGCAGGAGGAGTTAAACCCACAACTGCTCTGACTCCAACTTCTCTGAGTATTTAACTTAGTCTAATCTTTAACAGGGGCCAAGTTGGGCTCTCCCAAGCTGAGCTCCCACCATGAAGGAGGCTGGACAAGCCATCCCTGTCCCTGTCACCACCCAGGTGTCCCCTGGCACGTACCAGGCGGAAGGAGCGGAGCACGGAGAGCCCCTGCACGTTGGCTAGGCCCAGCTCCACCAGGCTCAGAGTGACGATGAAGCTGTCAAAGATGTTCCAGCCCTGCTGGAAATACTCGTAGGGATCCAGAGCAATGAGCTTCAGGACCATCTCTGCCGTGAAGATCCCTGTGAAGACCTGTGGGAAGCAGCACCCTTGACCACTTGTTCATACACCAGTGCTGAGCTGTGGGGTGGGGTGGGCAGCATCCCTCTTTTTTGGGGTATTCCCAAAGCATTTCACCCCTGCCAGTCCCAGTTGGGGACAAACTTCCCAGGTGCTGCCCAGTGGGGTGGTAAAGCCAGGCTGGGAATACTGGTGACTGATTCCTCTGGAGGGACACAAAGGTGAGTGTTGGCAGCTGAAAATTAAAAATAAAATTTCCTTGGCAAGGAGACACCTTTGGGATGACTGGGAAATCACAGGTGCCCAGCACTGGGAACTGGGCTGCTGCCAGGATACCCCTGTCCCTCCCTGAGCCCTGGGAAAGCTGAGCTGGGTTTTACACATTGCTCCTTTCCTGGGACCACAGCAGCACCTGCAGCACTGTGTCACTGCAGAGAGGGCTCAGCCAGGTGACAGTCACCATCCCTGCTGCAATTCCACAGCACAGCACATGCAGAGAGCCTGGTGACAGATCTGCCCTGACTGGGGATGGTGTTGGGACAAGTCTATCCTTCACGGAGCGGGGAGGAGCAGCAGGGAGGATCCTGCATCCTGGGGGGTGTCCCCACACGTCCCTTGCATGCCAACACACAAATGTTCTGTCCTGCTCCTGCAACTGCATCCCAGGGGATTGTCCCCACGCGTCCTTTGCATGGCAGCCCACAAACATCCTTTGTTCTGCTCCAGAATCGCAGGAGATTGTCCCCACTGCCCCCAGCATGGCCACGCACATCCCCGGTCCTGCTCCTCCCAGCTGCTCCCTGCCCTGCCCTGTGCACCCTGCGGTGGGGCAGGCAGCTCCCACCCGGGCACGGGCAGAGGATGTGGGGCAGCCCCGGCTCAGGGGGATCTCCCCCGCCTGCTGCCATCCCCACCTGGCTCTTCCCCGGCAGATCTTCCCCCGGGGATCCGCTCCCGGCTCGGAGGAAGCTCTGGAGCCGCCTGAGCCCCGGCCCATGAATCCCCTTGTATTTCCTGAATGAAACCAGAGCCGGTCCCGCCCGCCGGGCAGCGGCGTCTGTCACTCCAGGGCTGCGCTTCAAGCCCCGCAGGTGCCGGGGCAGGGCACGGGGGCAGCCCAGGAGATGGGAGCGCTCCCTTTCCTCAGTGCATTTCCCCCGCTGCCAGGCGGCTCCCCCAGCTGATCCATCCCGCTCAGAGATTTTGCCACCAGCTCCAAACAGGAGCAGCCACTAAATGCACCTATAAAATCAGGTCAGCCGAGATTTGCACAGGACAAACCCCTGATTATTGGTAATTTTAATGCTGCATTGTTGCTTCCTGCTCAGCGGGGACCTGTTTGTTCCCACAGTCTGGAACACCCTCTGCTCTGCCCCGTGGTACCCACCATTTCTGTGGGGACACTGTGGTGTCACCCAGGGCTGTGATGCAGGGGGTGGCTCAGGATGCACCGAGCCGGGCAGGGCTGCACAGGAGGGGAGCAGGGAATGGTGGATCCCAATCCCATCAGTGCCCTTGGTCTGGGCCACCCCGGAGCCCAGCCCTGCGCAGGGAGGCTGTGGGCAGAGCCCTGCCGTGCTCTGTCAGCAGCTGGGATGTGTCACACAGCAGCAGGGGGATCTGCCCCCCGGGGAGGGGTTTGAAAGGGGGCGATGGAGCTCCCTACCAGGTTCCCCACGCTCAGCACGTTCTCAAACTCCTCCGTCATGGGGTAGTGCTCCATGGCCATGAAGAGAGTGTTGAGCACGATGCAGATGGTGATGCCGAGGTCCACGAAGGGGTCCATCACCACCAGCTTGACAAACTCCTTCAGCTTCACCCACGGGCGGCAGCAATTCCAGACCAGGAATGTGTGGGCGAATTTGTACCACCAGGGTGGACATTTCTGGTGAGCTTCTTCCAGCTCTGAGGGTGGGAAAGGAAAAGTGTGGGATTATCTTGTCCTCACCTGGGTGGGCAAGTGCTGACCCTCAGGAGAACTTCTCCTGAGGTCCTGGGCCAGCTCTGGATGATCTATGATTTTAATATCATGGAATAGCCTGAGCTGGAAGACACCCACAGGGATCATTGATCCACCCCCCAACAATCCCACCCTGGGCATCCCTGGCAGTGCTGTCCAAACCTTCCTGGAGCTCTGGCAGCCTTGGGGCCGGGACCATTCCCTGGGGAGCCTGGGCAGTGCCCAGCAGAAGAACTTTTCCCAGTATCTATCCCAAATTCCCCTGGCACAGCTCGTTCCCTTGTCCTGTCCTTGGTCACAGAGAGCAGAGATCGGAGCTGCCCCTTGAGGTCTGACCTCAGGCTCCTCTTCTGCAGCTGAACAAACCAAGTGACCTCAGCCACTCCTCATGTGGCTCCTCCACATCCTTCATCATCTTCTTAGCCCTCCTTTGGATACTTTGAAAAAGATTTAGATCTTTTAGGTCTTTTTTTGTATTGTGGCACCCCAAAAATACAGGGGCTTAAAGGAGGAGCCCCAGCACAGAGATGATGCAGACTTGGCCCTCCAAACTGGAGAGGGATGGAAAGGCAGATCAGCCAGGGAACTGTGGATCCAATCCTGCTCACGGCCCCTGGGCAGGATTTGAGGTGTCCCTGCCACCCTGAGATTGCCAGGACACCCAAGGGCACTGCTCTGGGCTGACCAGGGGGTTTCATGCCTGTTCTTGGGGGGACAGGGGACATGAGCTGCGGAGTTCATGGTGCTTTTTGCTGAAGCTGACACTGCAGCTCCTGGGAAGCTGCTCAGCAGTTCTCAGTTAGTTCTGGAAACTCCTCTAACCAGCTGAACTCCCCTTAATTTGTTTGAGTAATTGGATTATTGCCTCCAGGCATCATCCCACTGAGCAGGGATGAAAAGTCTGGCTTGAGCATCACTGACGACATATGGAGACCCCAGGGCTGGAGCCATCCCTTGTGAGGGGCTGGGAATTTGGGACAGCCACTGTCACCAACCCAGGCCCTCCAGCCCTGACCAGGACCCTCACCCAGCGGGCCATACCTTCCACAGCATTGGAGATGACACTGATGGCACTTCCCACCCTCTTCTCCAGCCCTGGCCCATCCTGGTTGCCCACAGTGAGGTGGTTGAGGTCTGGCTTCTCCGGCTCATGGGGGTTGAACTGCGAGGAGAGGAGGGAGGGATAACGCAGAGTTATTCCATGCTCTGAAGGACAGAGCAGGCAGAAAACAGGGAATGGTCTGAAGAGACCTCTGAGTGCAAGGTGGGCACCTCAAAAAGGCTTGTAGGACCCAAGCCACAGCGAGGTGGGCACAAGCCTGGCCCCTCAGGGGGGTGGGCACCCTCAGGGATGGCAGGGGCAGAGCTGGCACCTACATCAACCACGGTGTCGGATCTCTGCAGGGTGATCTTGGGCACCACCTGCCCATTGCAGTCCTTGGCCTTGTCCTGGTCGCTGTTCACGTCGGAGTCGTGCCCCTTCCCGGCCACGCTGCTGGGCAGGGAATCGCTGCTGGACGAGCGCTCCTGCAACTGCACAGCCCCGGCCCTGTCACCCCTGTGCCCACAGCCATGGGGACATCCACAGTGGCTGAGGGCTCCAGGGGCTGGGAAAATTCCTTCCCTCCCTGGAATGGTGGATGGAGGAGGCTTGGAGCAACCTGGGCTAGTGGGATGTGTCCCATGGCAGGGGGGGCTGGATGAGCTTCCATGTCCAACCCAAGCTGTCCTGGATTTCCAAGCCTTTTCCTTTTCCTTTTCCTTTTCCTTTTCCTTTTCCTTTTCCTTTTCCTTTTCCTTTTCCTTTTCCTTTTCCTTTCCTTCTCCTTCTCCTTCTTTCCCTGGACATTTCCCTACAAAAAGTTACCATACAACAAAATAACAACCCCCAATACCAAACATACACAATACAGCAAACACCATTTTATAACCACCAAAACTACTGGCCTCCCACTAAAATACCACCTCTAACTACTTCTGTTATCACAAACAAAAAAGAATTACAGTTTTACACAAAATTACACTAATTACAGTTTTCCCTTTCCCTTGCACGCCCTGCACTCAGCTCTCCACAGCTGAGTTAGGTCTGTTCAGATTTGGTCAGGGACAATAATTCCTAAGGACAAAATTGAGCAAACCTTGGTTCTACAAGCAGAAAACTTTGCCCTTTGCAGTGAGCTCTCATCCAAAATGGCAAAGAAGCAAAGTCCTCAAGGCTCTTGCTGAAATGTGACCTCCAGGATTTTTGCACTTGCACTAAATGTTGTATTAACACATTTCCATTGCATGCAAAAAAAAAAAAAAAAAGTCTTTTTTGTCTATTTTTTTTTCTTTTCAACAGTGCTATTAAAATTTGAAGTTTATTACATCCTCTTGCAGCACTGAGGATGACACAGTGGAGTGGAAAATTCTATGTTCTCACAGCACATTGCTGAAATCCAGGACATTTTCCACCTTTAATCATGGGATATGAAATAAATCCAAGCCGCCACTTCTTGGAGGTGCTTTGCCCTCACTCTCAGCTTAATTGCCTCTGTCTTTTTCCTTTCTCTGTGTGACTCTAATGGAAGACATCCCTTGACAAAGCCTTTGGGCACTTCCTTGGTGGATTTGCTCAGGGAAGGGGCTCAGCACCAGCCCAGAATCCCCAACCCTCAGGCAGGGCTGGCTCAGACCCTTCCTGCAAACAGCAGCAGCCAGAGAGGAACAGGCCAAGGGATGCTGTAGCTCTGGACAGATAAGAGAAGAGAGATAAGAGGCTCTGGAGAGAGTCAACCATTGGTTTGTGCCTCTCTACACATGAGGGAGGTGGTGTCCTGCCCAGACACGGAGATTTTCAGGGATGTCTCCTGTGGGTGTTGCTGACATGGACCAAAAGGATGGTTAGAGCTGGAAAATGGCTGGGCAGCAGCACCAGAGGCTTTTGGCCATGTTTTTATAGGAATATTATACTGAAAAACATTCCCAAGGACAGCAAAGGGGTGAAGGGGTGAAGGGGTGCCATCCTGGCACCACAATGGGACATCTCTTGTCCAGGTTGTGCTTTGGCCAAGCAGGGCTGGAGGTCCCTTCCCACCTGGTGTTCATTGGATCCCAGGTGGTTTGGGTGGGAAAGGACCAGAAAGACCATTAGTTTCCAACCCTCCTGAAATAAGCATGGACACTTCCACCATTCCAGTTTCCTTGGATCCCACAAGGACACCAGGACCTCCCTGGTGAGGCTCAGGATGTCTCGAGCCCTTGATTGTGTCCCCAAAGCCCAGGGTTTGCTGTCAGACTGAGCTGTGCTGCCCCATCTTCCCTGAGTGATCCTTTGTGCCCTGGTGACACCGAGCTGGGCTCCTGCCAGCCTTCCTGATGTGCTGCAGGAGATCCTCTGGAACTTCTGAGGCCTTTTATGTCCCTCACCTCCTCCTCCTCTCAAACATCCCTGTGCTGCTCCTCTCTGCTGCTTCTCAGTGCACCCTGGGTTGGGATTTGGATGTGAAAATTTGATATTTTCAGCCTTTTTTGTCCCCACCCATGATAGTATCTCAGTTTTTTCATTCAGATGCGATGCCCAAAACAGTTGCTCCATTTTTTCCTCTACTTCCTATGGACCAAATGGAGTTTTTATTTAAATTTTACACCATGCTTGTTGCTGGCCTCCATTTCCTCTCCCTGTCCCCAAGACCTCTCATTTTGGCCTCCACTCTTCCAACTCACCAGCCTTTCCTGCTCCTCTTGCTGCTTCTTCAGCTGCTCCATGAGCTGTTGGAATTCCTCCTCCTTCTGCTGCTCCTCCAGCATGGTGGCGTCGTTCTGCTCAGCATAGGCCATGGCCACCACGGCCAGGATGAGGTTGATGAGGTAGAAGGAGCCCAGGAAGATGACCACCACGAAGAAGATCATGTAGGTTTTCCCTGCTGCCCGCAGTGTCTGTGGGAAGAGGTGGCAGGGATGTCACGATGTCACTTTGGTGACACTCCCAAGAGAAGGTACTGCCCCTCCTGATTGTGGTAGGAGGGAAATATTTTGCTCCTGTCTTCTCCAAGGGTTGGTCATTGCACAATGGACCTTCCTGCAGGCCCTGGCACTGGGCTGGGACTGGTGGGAGGCAGAGAGAAGCCCTGGTTCCTGAGGTTCCTGAGGGCTGGGAGTGATGGAGGTGGGACCAATATTCCATTACTGACTCGCTTTGCTCAGCCCCCACCTTCTCAGGGCTCACCTTCAGGACAGCATGGTCCTTTTCTGACTCTAATCATCTGGGCAAGCCTTCCCAGAGGACAGGGTGTCGGATCCCTTTTACCTGGCCTCAGGTGTAGGATCCCTTTTACCTGGCCAGCCTCTGGAGCCACGGTCAGCTGGGGCTTTGTGGTGTCTCCCTAGAGGAAAACTCAAGGAGGGGACAAGTGACCTGCCTTCTCCTTCTTATCCTGTTCCTCAGCTGGAGCCAGAGGTGCTCTGGACAATCTTATAAATCCCTGATTTCCCATGGCAGCACCCTGGGAAATACACTGCTCTCCCATGTTAGGGAAGTAGTAAATGGACCATCCCCACCTCCACTGATGCTGGCTGGATCCACAGACCACAGGAGAAGGACCCACAAGGTTCCAGGCAGTGACTTTTCACCTCAGGGGCAGCCCAGAGATGGGAGGAACCCTTGCTCAGGGGTGGAGGGGCAGTGCCTACCAGCTGGAAGAGGTTCTCCCAGAAGTCCTGCGTCATGAGGCGGAAGAGGGCCAGGAAGGCCCAGCTGAAGGTGTCGTAGCTGGTGTAGCCATAGTTGGGGTTCCTGCCAGCCTTCATGCACTCGTAGCCCTTGGGGCACTTCCTGCCAGGGGGACAGCAGGGATGAGACCCTGGCATGGCCCCGCAGCCAAACCCATCTGTAAGGGAGGGGGTGCAGCAGGGGGACCCTCCCCTCCAGGATGGGACAGGTGGGATGCCTGGACTGGCAGCACCTGCCCTGTCTGATAGCTGATGCCCCCCAAAGCTGACACAGGCAGGAGGCTCAGACTGAGACCCCTCAAGCTGATAAATTTGGGATGCCTGAGCTGATTCCAGCTGAAGCTGATACAGTTGTGATGCCCAGACTGGTCCCCTCGAGCTGGTGGTACCATTGGGATGATCCAGCTGATACCCTCAGGGTGGCCCCCAAGCTGATCCACTGGGGTTCCTGGACTGTTCCCCTGCAGAGGCCCATTCCCAGCCCCATCCCAAGCACCAGGGGTCCCTCGAGCTGTGCCAGCTCCCTGTGCCGTCCCAGGGCTGCAGAGGGAGGGGGTGTCACTCACCCAGCGTCGCTGCTGTTCCCGCAGAGCAGGGCATCCAGGGCTCCCTCCAGGAAGTAGTAATTGGCTTTGCAGGTGGGGAAAGGGCAAGGAATAAAAATCAATGAATAAATAACTAAATAAGCACAAACACTGATTTTCAAACTCTTGGGTGCAACTTGCTGTCAGGGAAATTCCTTGAATCCCAATGGAATTTGTTGACTTTCAGTGTCGGGGCACGTGGTTATCTCTTCTCTGTTGGCTTTGTTGTTTGTCTTGGCTCTGTCTCAGGGAGCTCCTGGGATTGTTTCATCAATCCAACCAGGTCCCTCCCAAGCCTGGAAATCCCTCTGGATCTGGCCAGGGCCAGGCCACCTGGAGAATGGGTTAACACGAGGTCAAAGGCTCAGGGCTGGGCTGTTTTCCCAGGAAATCAGGGTATTGGCAGGAAACACCAAGCATGGGGCACGGCAGGAGTCCCAGGAAAACCTGGGCAAATGCTCCTGCTCCATGGCTGCAGCTTCTCCTGCTGCTCCCATCACTGGTGGGGACCCCAGGGGTCCTTACAGCTCTTCCTTAGGGCTGCAGAGCCACAGGAGCTGCCAAGCAGTGCCACCACAGTGACCTGCCCAGGGACACAGAGGAGCACCTGCAGACACCCACAGTGGATGTGGCAGAGGGCAGCTAGAGCCAGTCCTGGACATCACCCAGCACAGCCCTCCCAGGATTCTGGGGCTCCCTGGATCCTCCTTGGCCCTGTCTGCCTTCTTGCCATGGGGCTTCTCTTTATCCTGTGTGGGCTCAGGGGGGAAATACCCTGTTTGTGCAATTCCAGGTTTTTGGGCTGGTCCCAGCAGCTGCCCTGCTGCACTTGTGGCCTTGGGCAGCTCCTCTTTGCTTGGAGCTCATCAGATCCTATGGATGGAACTTGTCCCCTACCAAAACCTTCCTGTAATGAATGCTGGAGCTGATTGTTGGGACAAGAAGCTCAGCTGTGACCCATCCTGGTCTTTTGAGCTCTGCTGAGTGTCCTGAATGACATGTAGAGCATCCCTGTGAGGCACCCTGCAGCTCTACCAGGCAGGTTTGCTGGATTTTTACATTATTGTGGAGTTTAAAAACTCAAAACTGAAGAACAAACAAAAAACCCACCACACTTCAGGCAAAATTTTCAAAGACGGGATAGGAAAGGAGAAAGGCAGATCTTCCTGAGGAGCTGTGCTGGTCCCACCTCTCCCTCCCTCTCTCCCTTTGGCTTTTGTGGTGTTGCATAAAGGATTCATTGGGAACTGTGCTACTTGGAGAAGGATCTACATAGTGAAAAGTGGCTTCAAAATGTCATTCCTGCATCTTTTCCTCTGGTTTTCTACCCAAAGTTTCACCTGCTCCTCAAGGGTTTGGTCTCCCTGCTGTGACCACCCTGATGGCACATTGGCTCTGACCAGCAAGTGGGAGATGGAGACGCTGGTCCATCCAAACCTTCCTGTTGTGAAACCATCCTGGAAGAGCTCAGCTTGCCCAAGTGGACCTCATTGTCCCTGTCCAGGGGGATTTGATCCCATCTGTGCCTTCAGTGAGGACGCACAGCCTGTGCCACCACCAGCCTTGGCAGGAAGGTCCCTGTGAGCAAAGCTTGGAGTGGCCAGGAGGAGCAGGAAACTGAGGATTGAACCGGGGTGAGGGGTCAGAGGAGAAGGGGCTGCAGGAGCTTCACCTTCATCGCTGATGTAGGCCTCGAAGTCAAAGGTGTCGTTCCCGGTGAAGTTCCCCGTGAAGTTCCCCGTGAAGTTCCCGGTGAAGTCATCCATGAAGTCGTAGAAGGTGGAGTTGGCCGAAGTGTCATTGTCCAGCCCCAGATCCTGCAGGAAGGTGCTGTTGGGGGGAGGCCAGCGCACACACTTCTGCCGGAGGTTGCCCATGAAGAGCTGGAGGCCGATGAGGGCGAAGACGCTCAGGCAGAAAACCGTGAGGATCATCACGTCCGAGAGCTTCTTCACCGACTGGATCAGAGCCCCCACAATCGTCTTCAGCCCTGGGGGGAGGTGCCACCACTGAGCTGACTGCTCTTGGTTAATTTGTGGTGTTCCCAAAAGGGGCTGGCTGTGGTGGGGACGTGTGTCACCCCCAGTGAGCCCCCAGCTCTGTCCCCACTCATGGCTGGGCCCCCCACAGCTGTCACCCTTGGGCTGGTGCTGGTGACTTCCCCATCCCAGCCTTGGGATAGCCAAAACAAAGCCCACCCCAGCCTGGCAGCCATCAATTCCTTTGCATTTTCTTTTTTCCCTAAATCTGGTATTTTTTTGTACCAAACCAGTGGAGTGAAGCTCTTCAGGGTGGGACATGGAGAAGCTCTTTGCTGGCCCGGCTGTTTGATGCTGTGCACCTCTCCCAGCTCCAGAAAAGCCTCTGTGGCTGTTCCTGGGTGGTTGGGAGCCCTACCAGACCCCTCATCCTGATCCCTTCAAGCTGGGAAATCCCTGGTGTGCCCAAGTGAAGGTGACAAAGTGACACCTGCACCTGGATTAACTCATCTCTCCCCATGACATCACCACTCCCTCCCCAGGGAGGCTCATCCACAGATCCTCAGTGGGATTTTTCCATGGAGGGTGGAGTTCCTGTCAGCCAAGGTCTACACGAATGATGGGTAATGCTGGGACATCCCAATGTTCATCTTTAGAGCTTCTCTGAGCCCAGAGCTTTCTCACATGGAGAAATTTTCCAAGGAAATGACCTTGAGCCCTGTCCTCCTGCCAGGTCATCATTCCCCAAACTATTTAGGTAAAATCCTGTTCTCCAAGGGCCTGGCCAAGGTCAGATGTTCCAAACCAGCTTATTTTTGCCACTGCTATTTCTGCAGAACCCTTGGGGATGTAATTCCAGAAAGAAACAGCAGTTTACATTTTGCTCAGTGCAATTTTTAGCCTGTTTGATGAAGGAAAAAAGCCATTCAAATGTGAACCCTCATGATCTGGAGCCTACAGGGACACCACAAGGATTTATTCACCACAAGGAATTTTCATTTTCAGTTCAATCTCACGCTTTCTGTGTGCTTGCACCAGGGGTTGAAAGCACAGTGTTTAAATGGTATCATATTTGGAAATCAGCAATCAGAGGGATTTGATAAGGTGCTCCTCACACAAGTCTGGATGTTTTGGGTGATGTTAAACCAATACCTGTTAAATATCTCAGCCTCAGCACCAGACAGCCAACAATGAGCACAAAACTGAGACCATAGCTTCAAAAATGGAAAGCTTTGGTGTATCAAACCCATAAATCCACTGGGAGCACAAATTCCCTCAATCCATCTCCAAGGGACCTTAAAAACATCACATCTGCCTCTTCAGGGGCTTCCAAACAACCTGGTGAGTGTAGCTGATTTCAAGATGTAAAATCAGCAGGATCTGACCCAAAAGCCAAATTTACATGGAAAATTTATGGAATACCTCATTTCCTCTGTTTTCTCTTGGAGCTGCCCAAAGAACCAGGAATTTCTGGGAACAGTGGGAATACCTGAGCTCAGGGGAAGGCACGGAGGGGAGGCCCCTCCTCTAAGTCCCACCTGGTATCACCGTGATCGTTTTCAAGGCACGGAGGACACGGAAGGTCCTGAGAGCGGAGATGTTCCCCAGGTCCACGAACTCGGTAATGTAGCTGTGGGACAGGAGAGGGAAGAGCTGCAGGGGCTCTGCCCAGAACACTCCTCGTTCCTCCCCATCCCACTGGACTCACGCCATGGAGATGACCATGAAGTCCAGCCAATTCCACGGGTCACGCAGGAATGTGAAGTCATCGATGCAGAAGCCTCTTGAGAGGATCTTGATGAGAGACTCAAAGGTGTAGATCCCAGTGAAGGCGTATCTGAAATGGGACTGGTCACCCAGGACACACTTGCCTAGGTCCAAGGTTTGCCCATTCCTCCCAGGGGGAATATCTTGAGGAGCTGACTCTGGGGGCTGATGGGTTTTTGGGGTGCTTCAGCACTGGGAGAGGTTTTCACCTCACCTCATAAGGTGGGCTGGGAAATCTCGAGGTACCAATCCCTCTGGTGACCATTCTGCATCACCTCTGTCCCTGCTGATGCCCCACCACCCCCACGCTCTCTGTAAAACCCTGCTGAGACCTGACGGTGCAGAACCACAGCAGAAAATGCTGGATTTCCCCTCTCCCCTGGGTTGTCCATGGTCCTTGGACAGGTGGATCAGCTCAGCCTCTCCAGACTGACAGTGCTGACCCAGCCCAGCCCAACCTTCTCCTTAGGGCCCTCCAGACATGGGGACCCCACCAGATTTTGGGCAGTTCTGAAACATTCTCACTCTTCAATGCCCTATGGAGAGTGTGGACATCCCTTCTGAGGGCCACCAGCACCTCCCAGTGACATCTCCCCTGTGCTGAAGGGTGCCTGGATCCCCACGCCCCGCTCTGAGCCTTGGTCTTGTCCCTCCTGAGGGACATTGCCAAGCTGGGCTGTCCCTGTGGCCAGGGGAGGTCTCAGGACTCACTCCACGTTCTTGGACCATGCCGGGGGGTTGCTCAGCGTCATAAAGACGCAGTTAGTTAAAATGGTGATCATGATGAACATGCTGAATAATTTAAAACGTGGTCAAGGAAAAATGCTCTGGGTGATGCCTGGATCCCCCCTCCCCACAGTCAGGAAGCCAAGTGTCCCCGTTCCTCTTGTCCTGGCTGCCACCTTGGTACCTCACCCTACCCTGCTCCTCCTGCTGCTCTCCTGCCTCAGTCCTGTGCTCACACTTCCCTCTTTTCTTCTTTGCTTCTGTGCATGGTCCCAGCCCCTTTCCTTCCTTTCTGCTCCCCTTTCCAGCTCTGTGGTGCTGGCTCTGCCTCCCTTTCTGTCCCCTGTACTCCTTCCTCTCCATCACCTTTGGATACAGCTTTCCCTTCCTTTCATTGTCTCTCCAGACCTCAAAACCCTTCATTTCTTTCTAGAAAGCTCTAACTCTTAGGCTTAGCCCCCTCTACTGCAAAACCTCCCTCTTTTCCTCCTCCCTCATGGCCAAGAACCCCCACTTGCTCCAGAGCTCTTCTGGGATCACTCCCACCCACACGGCAATGCCCCTCATGCTCTTGGGCTCCTTTCCTGCCTTTTCCTCTCTGTCCTGGTTCCTCTGCTTCCCTCTCCCAAAGCCTCCTTGGAGCTCCCCTGCTCACCCCCTTCCCAGTGGAACCAGATCCCCTGACCCATGAACATTTCCCTTCCTGTCCAAGTCTCCCCAGACCTCAAAGCCCTTCATCCTCTCCCTAGGAAGTTTCACCACCTCGGCTTCTTCCCTTCTCCATCCAAACTGATTCCTCCCTTCTCCAACCCATCAAGAACTGCTCATTGGAGTAAAGCTCTGGACAGCAGGTCCTGCCTGGGCTGGGGGCCCAGGAGGTTTCCACACCACCCCATCATCAGCCCCTTCACTTGTCCCTCTCCTAGGGCTGTTTGGACTCTGAACAGTGGGGTTTGAACTGGCCATGGAGCAGCATCCCAGAGACCAAGGATATGAATGGATGAGGACTTTGATGGCTCCTCTGCGGATGGGGTTGAAGGGCCCCAGCATGTAGAGGGCAGGGGTGGCCGAGAAGCGGAAGATGGACTTGCCCTTGTTAAGGACTATGAACGTCTGTGGAGAAAAGAGGAGAGGGGGGGTTAGTCCTTCTACACCCCCCAAAACTCCATGGGCCAAGGGCTGCCCTTGGAGGGGAGATGTCTCTGCATGTTTGGAGCTCCAAAGGCTTGGAGATGCTCTCTGCTTAGGAAGAGGAGCAACCACAGCAGTCTGGGGTGGTGGGTTGTGGAAACCCAGGGCACTGGAAATATTTCTCTGCTCTGGGGTGCCCTGACCACCAGGGGAGCACTGACTTTGACCCTCATCCATGGAGAAAGTTTCCTAGACTTCAAGATAGACTAGACTCCACAGAAGTGTGAAATAGATTATAGAGAGTAGTGTAGGTGTATCACTTGGTGAGAAATTTAGGTTTTGGGATTTTTAGTATGTTGTGGATGGAAGCAAGATGGAGGGCACAGGGTGTCCTCCTGGGTTTTTTCTTCATGCTTCTTCTTCCTTCTTCTTCATGGGTTTGGTTGACATTTTGTAATTGGGCAGAAAAGGCCACATTGTGGGCTCTTTGGGATCAGTTATTGGGTTAAAAGGGAAAATAATCTAGGTGTCAGTTCTTAATTGGATAGTTTAGCCTTAACAATCTCTTGTAACAAGAGATTGTTGGTCATTTTGTGCCATGCTAATGAAAAGCTGCCGAACTCACAGTAGTGAGACTGTTTTACTGATAAGAAATAATAAACACCCGAGTCTGAACATGAATTACTGTCTCAAGTGCCTTCAATCCAGACCTGGAGAAACCGATAGTGGATCACCAGGATGGGATCAGGTAAGCACAGGAGGTCCCTGCTTGGATCTTTTGCTTGGGACTTACACCTAAGGCCAAGCCTACCACGGGCAAAGCTCTGGCCCTCACCTTCTTGTCCTTGTAGAAAGGGTCCAGGTCCTCCAGGGGGGTCCCGATCAGCTCCACGGGTGGGTCACCATAGATGAGGGGCAAGTTCTTGCCGGCTTCCAGGTCACTGCTGGGCTTGACCTCCTCTTCCTCAGGCATCTCCACCTGCTGCCGCTTTATCCGGAGCGCCTCGGCCTCGGCCATGCGCTGCTCGATGGCGGCCAGCGAGGCCGGGGTGAAGGGGCGCAGGTTCTCGGGGCCCGGGATGTGCGGCAGGCCGGCCATCCTCTCATTCTGCTCCCGGGCCAGCCGCGCCCAGCCTGCGGGGACAAGGGGCTGCAACACCTGGGACAGCTCGGGGGCAGCTGGTGGAGGATCTCAGCGGGGTTTCAGGAACACCACCTGGGGACATCCTGGGGGCAGTTGGTGGCAGCATCTCAGCGGGGTTTCAGGAACACCACCTGGGGACATCTCGGGGGCGTTTGGTGGAGGATCTCAACAGGGTTTTAGGAACACCACCTAGGGACATCTCAGGGATGTCTGGTGGCAGGATCTCTGGGGTTTTAGGAACACCACCTGGGGACATCCTGAGGGCAGTTGGTGGCAGGATCTCAGTGGGGTTTCAGGAACACCACCTGGGGACATCTCAGGGGCGTTTGGTGGAAAATATCAGTGGGGTTTTATGTACATTTATGGCAGAAATGTTGAGCTCACAGGGAAGGATATCATGTGTGGATCATGGAGCACCCTGGGTGTTCCTGCTCCTTCCAGACCCCCATTGCCACTGGGAGCTGGGAAGCCTCAGTCTGGAGAAAGCTCAGGGGGGATCTTCTGGTTCTCTACAAGTCCCTGACAGGAGGGTGCTGCCAGGAGTGGGTTGGGGTCTGCTCCCAGGAGCAGTGACAGGTCAAGGAGACACAACCTTAAGCTGCACCAGGGGAAGTTTATACTGGACATCAGGAGAAATTTTTTTCCCAGAAAGACAGGGCATTGGAAAGGGCTGCACGGGGAGGTGGTGGAGTCACTTTCCCACCGTCCCTGGAGGTGCTTAAGGAAAGCCTGGATGTGCAGGCTTTCCTTAAGCACTGAGTGCCATGGTCTGGATGACACGTCATGGATTGGACTTGAAGATCTCAAAGGTCTTTTCCAGCCTCATTAATTCTCTGATTCTGTGATTCTGTGTTTCCACCTCCAGTCAGGAGGCACCATGAGGCTGGGACACCTGGTGTCCCTGTCACCACCTGGCAGTGCCAGACAGAATTTCACACCCCAAACACGGTGCTTCAACACATCCAAACATCTTTGGAAGCAGCAGCCCTGCTCCAGCTGCCTCCCCTTGGCAGAGCATCAACAGCTTTGCTCCTGCAGCTCCTGCAAGGGGCCTGTGGTGCCTCAGACAGGAGGTTCCTCAGCCAGAGGAGCTGGGTCCTGCAGGGCTGTGGCCCTGGCACAGCTTCCAGCCATGGGAAGCACGAGGAACCTGCCCTGCTGGGTGGCTCTGCTCCCAGGAAGGGTCAAAGGCTTCTCCTGAGCCAAAAAGCGAAGCAGTAACGGCACTTTTGGGTGTTACAGGGACCAGGATGACAGAAGGATTAGGGTGGTGGGTTAGGAGAGGTAAAGATGTTCTGCTGCATAAAAAGAGTTGGAGAGAGGGAAGTGTGGAGGAGAGGGGTGGCTGCACTTGGGGGAAGAGGCTGACATGCCCTGGGGGAGGTGGAGACACTGGTAGAGGCTCCCCCAACAACACAGAGATTCTTGTGCCTTGACAATGTCCCATAACTCCAGATTGTGTGGGATATGAGCCCAACATTCCGTAAAACTCGACCCTACTTCTCATGGACACTGGGACAGCGGCGCCTCTGTGTCTCACCCTCCCAAACCAAGCATCCCACTGCAACCCCAAACTTCCTGTGAAGCTGCCAAGAACCTGCCCCCAAAATCCTTCAGGTTCAATAATCCCAGAGCCTTGCTGTGCTGAGAGCTGGAAACCCTCAGCCCTTTGGGATTAGGGAGAACTGGACGTTTACAGACCTGATGGGAAAAGAGACTGGAAATGGAGCTGGGAAGGGGCTCAGCTTGGAGAAAAGGAGTCTCAGGAGGGACCTTCTGGTTCTACACAACTTCTGACAGGAGGGGATAACCAGGGGGGTCAGGCTGTGCTCCCAGGGAACAGGGACAGGAGGAGAGGGAACAACTGTGCCAGGGCAGGTTTAAATTGGGTGTTGGGAAAATTTCTTCATGGAGAAGTTGGCCAGACTTTGGAACAGGCTGCCCAGGGCAGGGGTGGAGTCCCCATCCCTGGAGGGGTTTAAAAGCCGTGTGGATGTGGCACTTGGGGACAGGGGTCAGTGGTGGCCTTGGCAGTGCTGGGGGAACAGCTGGGCTTGGTGATCTCTGAGGGCTTTTCCAACCTGAAGGATTCTCTGACTCCATTTGATTTAGGGAAAACTCTGCCCTTGCTGATTGGGGTTATTTAATGGCACAAACTGAGTCACACCACTGCAAAGTGGAGTCCAGCCCCAGCCCAGCTTGTGGCCCCAACTGGTCCCCCATGGGTGGGGGGATGGAACCCAGAGGTGGCACCTCATCAAAGCAAACAAAAAGAGAATTTTGGGTCCCAAGTGTCTCTGAGAGGGGACAGTGTCTGGGCAGGTGACAGAAGTGCCACCAGTGCTGCTTCTCATGAAATTACTCTGGACTTACACGCAGTTTCTGCTCCACTTGAGCAGCTCTGGAACCTTCCCCTCGATAAGAAGGAGCTCAAAAAAGCCAAGAAGCACAGGCCTGTGGCTGGTTTTATCACCCTAAATCCCAGGGGGAATGTGCTGGTGCAGGGGATCACAGAACACCTCCAGCTGGGAATGGATCCATCGGGGTCATCAGGGGGAGCAGCACCCAGGCTCCAGCAGGACCCATGGGGGACCTTCACAGAAATCACAGAGTCACCAGGCTGGAAGACACCTTCAAGATCATCGAGTCCAACCCAGCCCCAACAGCTCAACCCTGGCACCCAGTGCCACATCCAGGCTTTGTTAAACACACCCAGGGATGGTGACTCCAGCACCTCCCCGGGCAGCCATTCCAGAACTTTATCAGCCTTGCTGTAAAAATCTTCTTCCCAATATCCAACCTGTATTTCCCTTGATGCAGCTTGACATTCCCACCTCATCTCTGGCAGCTCTGAAGGCTCAGAGGAGCTTGTCACTCTGGGCAGCCTCAGTTTCCCTGGGAATCGGGATTCGCAGGGCTGTCAGGGGCAGCCTGTGCCCGGGCTGTGCCGGAGCTGCTGTCCCCGCTCAGAGCAGAGGGTGCTGCCCGGGCCGTGTTCCCCGGGTGCTGCCGCGGTCCCCAGCGCTGTCCCCGCTGCCGGAGGTGGCTCTGCCTCCAGCTGCCACCAGCGATCAGCGCCGGGCTCAGGTTTCTGCAGCCCCATGACTCTGCTCATTCCTGTCCCGGGGAGCTGCCGCGAGCAGCCCCAGCTCTGCTCCTGCCCCTGCCCCCTCTCCCTGCCCGTGTCCCCTCTCTCCTGCCCCTGTCCCCTCTCCTGCCCCTGGGGCCGCCGAGCCGCTCCCCGGCCGATGCAGCAGCGCCGGGCAGCACCAGGAGCGGGCTGGGAGATGCTGGGGCAGGGCAGCACTGCCTGAGATTACACTGGGAGGCTCAAAGGGGGAGTTGCCCCTGGCATGGGAATTCTTTGTAGCTTTTCAGGACCTTTTGTAGACTCTGAGCCCTTTGGGGCGACCCAGAGAGGATGGGATGGCCCCAGGCTAACCCCATGCCCAGATCCCACACACCACAGTTGAGAAGCCACCAGCATCTCTGGTTGCCTCCCAGTCTCAGAACAAAGCCAAGCCCAGGCTCTGTGGGGGCTCAGCCCAGCACCCCTCTGTCCCCAGTGAGCCCAGCCCCACAGGAGGGAACAGGGTGGGCCACACAGCGGGGTCCCACTAGCCTGGGTGAGGGGTGCCACCCTGGGACCAGCCCCTGGCCATGGGAACAGGAGGAGCAGCCCCTGGCACACCCTGGCACATCCTGGCACGTTTCTAGCAGCTCCTATGAATAACCCAGACCAAACTCTGTGCTCCCACAGGTAAAGGCAGTCCAGACCCAGTGACAGGTCTGGCACAAATCACCCACCAGGTCCCTCAGGGCTGGGCCCAGCTTCCCAGCACCTGAGTCCTCCAAGAGTCCCTGATTAAGAAAAATCCCTGCCCCTCATCTTTCCTGCTGGGAAATGAATCACTTAAAATGTCTCTACAGAGCACTGACTTATTTACTTAAATTTTGGCTGCCCAGCTGAGATGAATGGCTCCTTTTTGCCGTGACACTGGGGCAGCAGCTCTCTGGCCACAGACAGCAACAGAGAACTTTCCCAGAGAAAGGCTGTGAGAAGATCAGAGAAAAGAATTATAAATAATTCTTATCTTAGCTTGCTGCACCTATTATTGTGAATATGTGTAATGTGTTATGGAGATTTGTTTACCACAGGGTGGTTTCTTAATTAGCCAGTGTGATGGTGTTTGGATTGGAGCACTAATTAGGTCCAGGTGTATGATAACTGTCTATAAAACAATGGGTTTCTTAATAGTGATGTAATGATAAAGAGATTGATCAGCCTTCTGTGAATCATGGAGTCAATACTAATTATCACCTGGCTGGGGACCTGCTGCTGTGACATGACACAGGCGAGCTGCAGCTTTGGGACCCTGCCCGTGACATGTCCTGGATGAGCATCTCAACCCCCAGCTCCTGCACCAGGAATTGCCAGCAGGGAACTGGGAGCAGCTCCCACCTCAGGAGTGCCCAGGCTGCACTTGGAGAGGAATTCAGCTCCCTCTGATATTTTTGCTGCTGAGGGCACACAAAAGAATCGGGCACCAAAGTACCAGGAGTGGTTTGGGAGCTCCCGGGGATGCTGTGCAAGAGGATCTGTGCAACAGGACAGTGGGGGCAGGTCCTGGACGGCCACCCCATCCAGGCACTTCATTCTGCCCAGGAAATAACCTCCATGGGCTGGGGAAGAGAGGGGGAGGGCATTCTTGGCTTTGGAGGACACAGGGGCTTGGGATCTCCCTGACCTGCCTGACCCAGGCTCCAGTTCCTCCCTAAGGCATTTATTTTTTGGGGGATCACCTCCAAACCTGGAGCCTCCTGTGCTCTGGGGTATTGTATTAGCTGGGAAATGCCCCACAAAGGCAGGAATGATGCATCTCCATGACTCTGTGTTCTCAGGAGGCTAATTTATTACTTTATGCTACTATATTATATTAAAGAATACTACACTATACTAAAGAACACAGAAAAGATACTTACTGAATGC